CACACACACACACACACACACACACACACACACACACACACACACACACACACACACACACACACACACACCTATCTTTCCTAAGGAGCTCAAGGAGCAGAGATGTTGATCTCATTTTGAACAAATTACGCTGCAGCTTTTCTTCCAACTTTACCCCAAGTCCACCTCACCCCACTTCTTTAGAACGATTCAATAAAGTGGACCAGGGCTTAAACTCTCGTGTTATGAATTATTCTTGAGAAACATCTGATTGATGGTTGTTGATCTAAAAATGTATGTTGCTGCATCTAGGCAAAGGTTGCACTGAAATATGACTTTCCTCAGGCAGGCAGATGCATGGATCATCTTGTCTGGTGCCATACAAAGATTTTATTCCATAACCAAAACAGGATTTTAAATCATCTTTGGCAACATAAATATGTACGCATGTAAATTACTTCCGATACCAAATATAGACAACAACCAACTCCTTTCTTTTCACTTTGTAGTTTTAATTGGGATTTCCACCCACTGTTTATAAGGAGACGCTTGACAGTAAAAACACAAAAATTGTGACTGGAGGTTTCTTTAATCAATTTGATGCTAATGTCGTCTGTTAATGAACCATTTACCCCACGCTGAGCCGTAGAGAGCTGGCTTTACGGCTCAGTATGAACCCCTGCCAGAGTCTAAAGCTAAACGCCCAAAAACCGAGTCCAATGAAGGCCAACATAGAAGATCTGCTTTCAGCTTTAACAGCAGGTTCAAGAAATCTATGAAGGATAGACTCATGAAATACAATCTCATAAGAGTAACGGGTTGTGTTTTGCAAATGTGGCTGTTTAGTTCAAACAAGGCATGATTTTAGTTTTTAAAGAAATTCTCATATAGGTTTCCTCTTAATAGCCTAACAAAATATACGATGTGCAAAAAGTTAAGAGAGGTGGACCATGTCACTCGACTGCCCCAAAGCAACCACTCAGATTAGAAGACCACACATCATATGAGGAGATTACAGGAGTCTAGACCGAAAACATAAGACTCCTAATCTCCAAACTGGAAATGTTATGCTTTAAATCTTCTCAGCACAGAAACCGACTTGAAACTGCAGAGCAAGAAAACCCCGATCCAAATGATCCCTCATCTCAGTAAATCAGATATAATAAGTGCCCGGTGCATCCCACCAGATAGGCTTACCTTCCTCTAGCTCATCCATTGAGCCGATCTTGGTCATGCCATCAATAGTGAAGATGAAGCGGACACCTTGCGGCAAGTTGATGTGGTCAGAAAGAGAGCGCGTGAGGTCGGCCAGGAGCGCGTCAAAGGTGCGGAACCGGTCGTTGGCCACAGCATACACGATGCCCTTGAAGTAGCGGTCTCCGTTGCGGTAGAAGCGCACCTTTTTGGCCTTCTTCTCATTGGTGAGGGCCTGCAGAGTGCGGGTGCGGTAGAAGCTGCAGTGGGCGCTGTGGGTAGGGCTGGGAAGTCCATTCAGGCGCCCGCCGCGAGGGTTACGGGATGCCTTGTCTCGCTCGTCAAAGTGTCCAAAGTCTAGCTCCATGATGACTTAGGTTGAGATGGTTGTGACAGATGTGTGGTGGTGGTGGGGACCAGCTCCGGAGAGTCTGGGGAAAAGAAGGAAAACAATGCATTGTAAAGTAAAATGCTGCAGTAATAACACAAAATTGTGATTTACTATATTGGCTTGGTCCAACAAAATTGCCCAAACAAGCTATGGATAAAGTGACCAATTACTCACACCAAGTCTAATTAGTCTAATGTCCTCTAGTATATTAGGATCATTTCTACCATCAGTGACCACAAACATTACTTCATCTCATCCTGGATGACTTCACCGTAACACAAGGGGAACTTGACTCTTGAATCCATTTGTACTGAAGTAAACACAAAGTGATTTGGTGCTTACGTCTCCTGTCATTATTCATCATGAGTTAGGGCCGTCCTCAACCAAAGAAATCCAGAGTCGACTCGCATTCACACGATTTTGTCGACTTTCATCAACAGATCTGGAAAACTCAGATTCTCCACAAGGACTCATACAAAAGCACCACTTTAAATCTTTAAAGAGACTAATTGAATAAAGAAATCTTAAGTCAATTAAGAGCTCCAATTAGTCAATTTATTAAGAGCCCTACTATGAGTTTCTAGTACAAAGACGGACATTTTCATTTTACTTCAAATTCTACAAACCTACAACAATGATAATGGTTTCATCTGATGCATACAGGCGGACAATGAATCAAACCACGAATCATTTTAAGGACTGCTATTGAATGCTGGTCTTAAGGGCTCCAGACAAATGAGTCTGTATTAAAAGTAGTGATTGATGACACATCCTGACCACTTCAAAGAACACTGTGTACATGTGGCTTTATTATTTAGCATCAATACAAAGTTTGAGTCATTGAACTACTACTTTGCTGAATATTACGGCACCGTAATCCCTCACATATTAAAATTCACACTAAAAATGAATCTTTACAGATGATCCAATGGGCCTCCTGTGGCAATTCTGATGTCAATAGAGATAAATCCTTTTAACGGCATGTTTGAGTCAGTTTTCACTCAACATGGGATTTAAATGTAGATTTTGTCGGGTAGGAAAATAGGATTATAAACAGATGGAGATTAAGATGTCTGACCAACTACATGGCACACAGTTAGGTTTCCCCAATGGCAAAGATTTGATGAACAAAATCAAGTAAAAAATGATATTAAACTGAAAAGAAATTGTACGTTAAGGTGGATTTATTGTTACTCTGCTCTGGCTAAACCGTTTTGTGAAGCATGTAGCCCACAGGATACGTCTCTTCTGTATTGCGGCGCCCACATACACCTGTGAGCGGTTGTCTTACTTTGATCAAATGAATCACATGGCTTATTAATAAAGCTCAAGGGTACGGTTCTTAAATAAGTCTTCAATAAATCATTTGAGACCTTTCTACAAAATCTCCAGGAGCCAACAGATAACCATAAACAATATTATTTAATTTCTGAGTTGTGAGTTGATCTGCTCAGATCACTCATGTCAGGATGTGTTCTTATCACATTAGAGGAGGAATTTGTCCATTTCTTTGCTGTTAATGTGTCCAGCTGTTAATATTCTGCCGATGTGTTCAGTTTAATGTAAATGCATTTGGTGAAGCATGTTCGGCAAAGCTATGTGTACAATATCACATATCTAAGTCTTGTGATAATGTACGTCAGTAAAAATAATGGATTCTTTGAGCTGTGTATAATACATATATGGGTTTGGTGTGACAGTAAGTCAGTATATCCGTTACTCGTGGATTTCTACGCAAATTCATGTCGCAACATTAGACCAAATTCAAAGCTTTCTTCATTTGAAGGAAACTGTCAACTCTTGTTATTTGTCCCAAAATAGTGGGGATTTGAATGTTACCGGAGATCCAGCTCTTCTGGCTTCCCAGAAATTATGCAAAAGATGCATCTGTTCAGCCAACCAACAATAAACCACTTATGCTATGAGACGGACTGGCCTTTTTTTCCATGGAAAAAGACTGGTCTCTTCCTGTTAACCTCCCACCTGCACCTCATGACCGCAACCCAGTCCTCAAAAGCCACAGAAACTCATTGAACCGTACCTTTCATATAGTGAACACTGATACACACCCATAAAAACACTTACACCCACCCACATGAAAGAGGAAGATATCTGTGTAGTTTAAAGCTATCGACATGATCACAGTGTCAATGAACTCTTTTTCATTTTAAGAGTGATGACATCTTTATCTTTTATGTATATCTGTTTAGTAGTTTGCAGGCATATTCTTTGGACCCAGTGTTGCTCTGCGCAGACAACAAAGACTTTGAAATCCTCCACAAAAATGCCAGAATAAGGCAAAGGTGTCACGCATGTCACTCGTTTCTCCTCCAGGTCGTAATCGGCTTACAGGACTTGACTCTATTGACTATGAGGTCACCGGTGTTTGAACTCATGTCATCTCTGACTGGCTTGTTAACTACACATACATTGTAAGTCTTTTAGGCTGCTTTAAGTCATGTGTTCCTCCTTGATGATGTTCAAGACCTGACATCACAATTTGGCTTGGAAAGAAATCATGCACCATTTTGTAGCAATTTTCCACCAAATCCTCAGCAAAGGGCTTCTAGGCAGAGGTGGGAAATTTTGCACTATTATCATTTATCGGCTTTGACTGGAATTATAATGTGAATTTACAGGCTTTTGTTGCGCCTTTACAAACGTATGAAAGTCTTTTCACTTCTTCTTTCACATGTCTGAAGTGTTTTGTCTGACGCATAACAGCAAAACCCTGTTTCTTTGAATAGAACTGAAATGATTAGCAGATAAATCAATTAGCTGACAGACAAGAGATTAGTTGACAACTATGATCTAATCTATAATCAATCGTTTCAGTCATTTCTCCAGCAAAAAATGGGAACCGTTCTCGGATTCCAGCTTCACCAATCTGAAGGGCTGGTTTCTTTTCTCCGTTTCAATGTAAACTTGAATATATTTAAAGGTTCTTTTTGACAGGCGGTCAGACAAAATACAGACATTAAGATTTCACATTGGACACTTTATTGGAAGCTAATGTATTGACTGATCACTTCATAGAGAAAATCTTCAGATTAATCAATAAGGAAAATAGTTGTTATCTGCAGCCTCAGCTTTGAACGACACACTATCGTCTTATTTTGATGTTGATCTTAAACACACAGCTCTACTTCTAATAAACATTCAACATATTAACAAGTAAAAAACATTTTCACCCTTTTCATTCCACCCATTCTAAACCAATGAAGGAAACAACGTCTAATAATGCTAATTTGTCCCGTTTCTAATCCTTTATCGTCCTCCATGGTTTAATGCCCTGCGTGGTGCATATGGTGGACAAACAGCGGCCATTAAAATAGAATAGTAAGAAACATGCTGCCACCACCCATCCATGTGGCGGGGCCCTGCAGTCCATGCTAACCCCATGGCTGTGCTGCTGACTTGGGTTTTTTTTTTTTATGACAGGCACGCTGACAGGGGTGGGACTTCTGGGGGGCTCCTCAGCTGACAAAGGCCAGGTTTCGAGCCCATCTGCTGCACTAACGGGCTGAGCTAACAGTGACCCTTCCCAATGGAGCATCAACTAGGACAGTCCATTGTCTCAACCAGGGGGCCTTTCCTTCAGAGTGACATCACCATCACTGCTGCTGCTGCAGGAGGAGTGGTCGGCTCATTCTCCAGCAGGAGTCCAAAAAGTGCATCTTATAAGCAATAATGGTACACTACTATCACAGCTTTTCAGTGTTAAAGTAGATGACATGTAGCTTTACGTCATCTCTCTTTGTGGTTGATTGATACACCACAGGCTTCCATCTTAATAGATGAATACAAATCACACAGAAAAAATGAATGCACCCCCCTCCAAGCTAAAGGCTGAGCATTAAACAGCATTGCAGCAACATGGTGTGGAATCACTGATATATTTGGCTGCTTGTGTGCTCCTTGGCTGAGCCGCCCACACAACACAGCCCGGTGACTACACACTCCTGACAACCACATTATGACTCTCCAGTCCTCTTCATCCAGAGCTAATCTACACACAGTGATCAAATCCACAAAAGGACACCACGCCACAGCACAGCCAGTTTAAAATCACAGTCGCAAAAGGAAGGAATAAAAAAAATAAATAAAAAAAAAAAAAGTTTCCTGATGCCACACTTCTCATTTATCATGCGGCCACATGGCAGAGAGCAGCTGCAGAAAATGCAAGTTTTTCTTTAGGAGAAAAAAAAAAAAAAAGGGGGGGGGGGGGTTGGTTGTGCGCACACCTACTCACAATCCACCTGCACAAATCTGAACACCTAAAACCATTCATTCCACGCGCAAGTACCTGCGATGTCATCTCAACTCACCCACTTCAAAATTAAACTGTGCCAATTTAATTTCTCCTTTAACAAGTAAAAGTCTGCGGATAATCCCATCACCCAGTAGCGGACTCACCTGCGTCGCTGCTTGCGGAGAGAAGGGAGTGTGTGCTCGGGTGGTGGTGGTGGTGGTGGTGGGGAGGGGGGGGAGTGTGAGTGAACGTGTAGAGTCGATGCTGCAGGATAGCGGCACGCCGTCTCTCCCCTCGCCTTTGTCTGCTTCAGTGTGAGAGCCGAGACCGCCTCGCTGGAGGAGCCACTGGGTCCTAAAGCCAACGAGCCCCTGGACCCGCCCACCGTGGAAATGCTGTAGGTACCAGTCAGAGTGGGGCTGGGGTGGAGCTCACATCAGCCTCACAAAAAGGTACATGGACATGCAGTGAATAAAAAAATAATAATAACAATAAAAAGTTCTGGATGAAAGATGAGATACCCTATTTATTAGAGATCTCCTGATATTTGGGTGTGGGCACTTCTACTTTCTGTCAAAAAGTTAAAAGAGCATTTTCTTCTCTTGGATTAAGCTCCAGATTACAAGGTTGTGGCTTTCTGTGTGTGTCCAGTGCAATCAGCTGAGTCCCTTTGACAAAAACCACAGTTTGATGCTTTGGTCTGGTGGAGCTCTTTGTTGGTGGAAGATAAAAGAAGATAATGCCTAACAGTGCTTTACTTCCCTTTTTCTGACTGTTTCATTATCAGCCAGGGAACCATGTTTTAACTCCTTAATGAGCTGTATTTAGCATTCTGAACATAAGATACCGGCAAACAACTATTTGCTATGTAAATATATAGTGCAGTAATTTCTGCCTGAGCACGGAATGAAGTCTCTAGCTCTCTCCGTGTCAGTTCTTATCCAAGCTTTGCTTACTCTGTCGACATAGCTCAACCGGCCGCATGTGCTTTTAGTGCATGTTTGCGCATTTGAGCGTGCCGTAGTTTGCACTGTTAGCACTGTTCGCATCTTATTTCAGCTGTGAGCCCCCGGGCACATAATGACCCTAACTACACAAGGTCAATGTCTAACCTTAACCAATCGTCTCTGCCTCAACCAGCTAGGTCTCGCCAAGAAGGCAGTGTTATTCATAATAAAGCGTCGCCGGCTCCCTGTCGACATGTTGAGAGCCATTGAGAGGCAATCTAAATGCTCCTAATCTTGGATCTTGTGCCAGGTGAACAGGAAAAAAAAAAATCTAATAGATATCACCATGAAACTTCCACAGTTGATAACTTATATAAGGGAACATTTATTTGATTACAAGATTTCTTGAATTTCATGTCTGGATATGCAAATGAGCCATTCTCTTATTAAATATGTGCTGATGCATTTCCATAACATAAATCTGAACATTGGATAAAGTTAGGTTCAAAGTTCTTGTTTCATTTGGTTGAAAGATTAGAGTCAAAGGTTTTTATAGAGTACATCTTTGTATCACTCCATAATTCAGATAATTCTCTTAAACATTTTCGCCATGTTTTAGGAATAACATGTTCTATAAATCAGGCTCTGCATATGAGCAAACCCCTCCGCAAAAACCTTCAAAATATAAACAGTATTGGACCTGGAAAGAGTATTGCATGAAAAACAATGTTTTTGTCTGTTTGTGACTAAACATAAGATCGCTCACGTTCTGTGCGACACATTCAGCCTACTTTCCTACTTTTGCTTTTGACAGAGCACCTGCACTGTAGTCTGAAAATATGTCACACGGCTTCAAAAGAAAAGTACATCAAAGGGGGAAAAAAGTCATTGTATTCTACTTTCCAAGAAGTGATTTTACATGTTTGCACTGAATTATGACAGTAATAATAAAATATCTGCTGATGGGAATGACAGCCGATCCCTAAAGGCCAATAGAACAAATGTTTGTGGTTGATTTTGCATGAACTTATACACAGTTAGTATTTTAGATGCATATGTTTACTGTGTGGATAAGGCTGTGTTGTTCCTTTAAAGATATCACGCAGGGAAAAGAAACTGTCAAACTGCAGAAACCAAAACACCATGTCATTGTACAGCCCACATTGGTCATTATTTCTTATTAAATCACAAGCTTTTGGACGTAAACTGGTCTCAACCTCGTGGCTATGTAACCGACTTGAATAAAAAGGCTTTGTGACAGCTCTGTCGGCACCGTGTCGACTCCATTGGCAGTAACATACATCCAGGAAAGGTGAGATGTAGAGTTTCAGAGGCGTCACATGATATTCCCAACAGGCTAAAGTGTGGCAAGAAATCCCCATACAAATGAACTCCATTGTTGTGATATTCCTTGAACAGTACTGGGCCTCAAAACTGGGCCACAATACAAATGTATAAAGTTCGATAAAGTTTCTTTGGTCTAATGTGTGCACACTGACTTTAAAACGGAAGATGAAAGTTAAATAAATGAGTCCCGACCAGCTGGACAGGAAAAGGTTTTTAATATATAGATACATAAAGATAATGGCAATAAGCAAGTGTTCAACGGTGCAATCTATTCTTTTTAGTTATATTAATGCACATAAGGACAGTTTATGTAAGCACTGGTTTTCTGGACTTGAAGGTTGCCTTCTTTATACCCTTTTTGATCATTTCCTCTCCACAATATAACAGCACAAAAACATAAGAAGACATTTGGGAAGTACGTCTCTTTTCTGTCCATTATCTAGTTTCACATGATAATTCACCTGCTGAGGGTGTGAGGATATTAACAAAGGCTGGGATTAAGGCCAGCAAAGATGATTCATACCGTCGCATTCATTAATTGCTCTGCTTTGATGCCAAAGACATCACCGAGTGGCCCACCGCTTTAAACGAGAGGACCAATGCATAACAGGTCTGAGGTCTCTGTTTTTAGAAAGCCAACAAAAGGAGTTGACTCTTTTCACAGCAGGCCACGCTCTCTTTGTCGTCTATTCCTCTCCCCTCAGGCGGAAAAGCTTCACTTTAAAACTCAGCTGTTGTCACATTCTGGAGCCTCTCCTTTGCATGTCACGCATAACTCTAATTCACTCTGATCACTGGCTGCTCCGCACCTCCCTCAGTGAGCTCCCCAAGGGCTGCTGTCCACTGCCTGCTTTCAGACACAGGGGAGAGCCAAGAAAGTGCCAATGCAGGAGTTTATCAGGTTAGAGGCACAGGAGGAGCAGATTTGGACATTTGGCTGGTTCTTTTTTCACACTGTATTTCATGCCACAAGTGAACAGGTACTCATCGACTTTCCAAATCTGGTCACATAATTCCTTGTTTCCCTATAAAACTCTTCATATAACACATCAGAAGCAGTTCTCTGACTGTGTCTTTGACTAACATGCCATCCACATAAGTTTAATCAATCCTGGGTTTTCAGATGCACAGTATGCATACTGTATACGTACACATGTATTCATGCCTAATGTGAAAAGAATAAGAAGTTCATTCAGGCACTTTAAAGACTAATGCCAACGAATTAAAGTTCTGAAGTGCTGAAATTATTCAAGTCAATAAAAAAAAAATGACCTAAACCTGCTTTCATGCATCATTCCTGTAAAATAAAGAGCCCCGCAATAACAGACAATTATTTAATTTCTGCCTCTGAAATGTTACGACTTGATGCATTATGATGGAGAAGCTTGTCCTTCCTGTTAGTATGACTAATGGACAGCTCTTAAAATTGAATGTACTGAACCTAACAACAGATTTATAGCCTGCAGCTTACGTCATGCTGGTCAGGTCAACCAGAGTTCCCAGTGAAACAGGCACATGATAAATAATGTGCTAGAAGTGAACTACATGTACATTTTTAATGTTACAAGTTAGAAGGATCACGTGTGTTGTAGGTCTGGAGGCCATTTCCTGCCGTGTAGTAAACAGATACAATGGATGTATTCATTAAGATACCTAATTTTTTTTTTTTTATAAAGCCAGCTTCGGTGTGCATATTTGAATAAAGTGTTTGTGTGTCAGACCAAACAGCAAAGGACAGAAAGAGTGCTGTGCTGGCCGTCGATATGACAAGGCTGAATGAGGTGGACTGCAGGATAAGCATAAGTGGTTCACAGCTGGTGTCTGGGGGAAACACGAGAGAGGGGTGGAGAAGGCCGGACGGCGACGGGAGGCGAGGGGAGGGGTCTGGTGGCGATTGTGGGGGGCGGTTGCAACCATGACGACTGATGGAGGAGGAAGTAAACAGATGTCCGCAAGCTGGCAGACAGGCCCAGAGTGGTCCAACCACTGAGAGACAGGTGGACATCCAGGAACACAGTGGGACTGCAGAGGGACTGTGAAGCCAAGCAGAGCTTTGCATTTACAACACAAACACTGGAGTCTTTTATTGTATGATTCAGTGAACCGGGTAAAAAAAAGAATCTAATATATATCCCCATAAAACTTGCCCTGTTTTGCACAAGTTTTCTGAGAATGTTTTTATGAATACAATGTTCTATGAATCAGAATGATATATGAACAAGCCCCTATGAGAGCAAAATAGCCCCAAATCTCAAAATTGACAAGTGCATGAAAAGTTAGGATTTGCATGTGTCTCCCCTCAACACAAATTAAACCCATATTTATCATTCTGTATCTGAGGTAGTAGAGTCCCTGGAAAATGCCTTTGTTCTTTGTTGTTCTGACACACAATGTGACTCCATCTGTTGTTGTCCACAATATCAAACTCTTGAGATGGTCTCACTTAAAACATGTAATCTGATGAAGAGACAAAAAAACAGCATCTTAATTATATTCATGACCCTGATTGATGTCTCTTCCAACTTGTTGTAAGTTGAAATCACGAAATGATGAGACGGTGATGGTGATGATGATGATGCCATCAGAAAGCCTCCATCTCAGCAGTCCAAATGAATCTATCGCTGCCCTTCCTATAACCCGCCTCAGCATTTTTGCAGAGTCACCGCAGCCGCAGTAGTCTTGAGGATAGACTGGAAACTAGAAAGCTATCAGTTTTAAATCCCCTGGCAAGCTGCTAAATCAGGGCGCAGGAAACGAAGGAGACGCGCTGTCGCCTCCTTCAACGCTATCAGTCAACATGACCTTGAGCAAGGCACTTCAAACCTCAGCTGCTCTGAGATGCACTTGTATGCTGGACTGACTTGAAATACTCACCGAAAGGGGACAAAAGTGACGCTAAGTCTGTCTGACAAAGCGTCAGTATGTGACAAGTTGGAATGAGAGCATGTTTTTTTCTTTTTAAGTAGATACATCTGTTCACACAGTCTGACCACGGCATGACTCGTGACGGTGTGATGTTCTTGTTACGGTAAAGAGAGGATGCTGAGCAGGACAGACCTCTGTAGTAATGTCGGCATCATTAAACAAGGCCTCATCGGTTTCCATGGAAGCTTACTCACAGCCGGAAAAGCCTTGAGAGGCTTATTCTGAGCCTAATCAGCTGCAGCCACTCCAAGAAGACTGTGATGAGCAACAGACGATGACGTCATCTGATGAGTAGTTGGTGAAGAAGCTTTTTCTTTCTCAGAAACCCAATATGTCCTTCATCACCATCATCATCACCACCATGATGTATGGTGAATCACAGATGTGTGTCATCGTCACGTTTGTTGACTTTTGTGTACTTTCGTCTTCTATGCTCTTCATCACAGAGAAAACGTGAGTCCCCGTGTCGGCATGTTGGAGACTGAAAAACATCATCTGAATATTTAAAAACATGGTGGATGAAACTAAACAGAAGGTTTGTAGGTGGGTGGCTTAGTGGATAACTCAGAATTAGGAAGAGAGGATCAAATAAAAGTAAAACATGACCCGGATTCCCTTTATGCTCTTTCAGATCACCATGCGGGGAGTCACCATTGTGCCGTCTCAAGTAGCTTTGTCTGCTCGGCAGATTTTCTAATGAGGGGCTTTTGGAGGAGGATGACAGAGCGCTCTGCCTGTTCTGTCGGGGAGGAGGGGCATTTAAAAGAAATGAGCAATGCTCTGTCCGTGGATACGCCTAATACTAGATTCTCAGATGGCCTGCTGGCAGCCTGGCAGCACCATTAGGACTGAGAAGGGTGGCATTAGTCTCCAACTCTCATTATGTCAGACACACTGAAAACCTCTAATCAATGAGAGGGGTAGAATTAAAATACACTGGGCAAGAAGGCAGCAGAGGTGCAATTCAAAGCACGCAAATCTGCTTTGTTTGTACTTTACACTTGATAACTTTATTTAGAGAGAAAATGCTCAGAACTGAATAGCTTTAACTCAAAATCCATTATGTTTTTATATGAATCAGTTACTGAATTAATGTCTGATTGCTACACAAATGCTAGGATAGTTCCTCTTACACACACAAACAGAGGGGTTTTATAGCACCAGTAATTGTGTATTTCTATTTGTAGTATGTATTTATTAAGTTAGAAAAATTAAGAAGAAAGGAAAAAGACAGGTATCTACAGAAACATGAACCTCAACACAACATTAATCTCCCAGAACAGGCCACAGGTAAATAAGCTCATTGGTAAAAAAAAAAGAAAAACAAATATACCACAAAAAATCAACAAAACTTGCAACTATACAATACATATTTTCCATACTTAATAAGGAAGGAAGCAGATGAATTTAGAAAAAACAATGGCCCACATACAGTAAACTGGTTGCTGCTCATTAGCGTGTTATCATCACGAGACAGACGCATGACAGCTGGTCAATAAATCACTCAACCAAAAACGTGTGAAGAAGGTCACACAAGCACATCTAGAAGAGATGGTGTTATACTTATGCTGATAAATGTTCCTTTAATCTTGACAAATCTCACTGGATTTGGCAAACAGGACGTTCTATCATCTCCACTCTGAGAAACCAAGGAGAGGATGGGTAACTGACTGCAATCACATAAAACAAAAAGTTGATAAGCTCACCATGTTAGACAGACAGTCTTACCATAAAGATATAGGTTAACTTCTCTGGAACCTAAGTGATCATAGGTATAAGATTTGGATTGTGTGACTTCCATCTGATTATCCACATTTGCTGAACTTTGCTCGTGTTTTTAATAAGATCACTGAAATCCAGAACTTTAAACATGTCACTATTTCCTGAGTTTACTAGCTGCTTGTGAAGAGTTTCCATCACATATATTAGAGAGAAATACTTCCACTAAAAAAACGTCCTCCATTGTTGTTGTTGTTGTCTTGCTTTAGAATTCATACGTTATTTATTTCTCCAGAAGATATATGAAAACATATGCCCTGAATGAAGATTATACAATATTGGAGACAAATCTAGTCTAATGACATACTTGTCATTTCATTTTGAGGATTTATTAGGTGTTCTGTGGCTGCTTGTGAGAGATATTAAACTCATCATATGTTTGAGCTTGGATCAAAGGGTTATTTATCAAAAGAAGTAAATAAAAATATCAGTGGGCTCGGCCCACACACTGGCTGTGTGAAGAAGCCAAAACAGGATTAAAAGAAAAATCCAGGAAGCTAACAGACAGCTCTATTCTTATTATGGCACCACAGTTTTCAGCAAGCACTGGATTATTCATGTCTTTTGTGGTCAATATGTCCGTATAAATGCTGCAGCTGCTACTGCCCATAAAATGTCATCTGCTACTAATAATTATTCAAGGTGTGGTGCATTTGTGGTGAAAAGCAGTAGCAGCAGAAATAATGTGGGTTCTAGCATCCAGAATGTCACATGTCTGCCATCTGCTGGACTGTTACCACAGTACAACATTGACTCCAACTCTGTTTTTAGACAATGACACTAAAGGGATGGTTCAGTTTTTCTGACACCCTATGGTACGACTTATTCTCTGTCCACAGAAGACTGAGCTAATGTCTCAGCACCACCACCAGAGAGCTATCAATATTATATCAAAGAATATGTACTAGCCCTTTAAATCCCACACTACATTATTCTCTAAACTGAGAAAGAAGGAAATTAATATTAACATAATGAGTCTGTTTGATTTGAAAGTTTGTTTTTCAATCAATTTTGATACATTTGGATAATATGTATCACAAAGGTTTTGGGTACCTTTGAGTCTGAGGGGGAGAAAACATGCATTTATATAATAAATTAAAGGGCATTTAATGTCCTTATCCTTCTATTGTTGCTGCTGCGGTGTTGATGTTTACTAATGTCTGTCCTCTCTGCTTTTAAATCACCTCACCTTCTTACAAAGCTGCATGTGTGTGTGTGTGTGTGTGTGTGTGTGAACAGCTCTGTTGAATCCATACTCTTGGAATCACTTTCTTTTGACTGCCTTAAACTTAGTGAAAAGATGACGCTGCCTCCAGAAGGTGAAAACAAGTCTAGTTTCCTCAATTTGGCTTTCAAAATAAAAGAACAGCAATTGAGACGTGGTACAGCAGGACTGCTTTTCTCTTCTGAGCAATTTACTCAAATAGCACATCTATTAAGTTTCATGAATTGAAAGTGTATGCTTTATAATGCGTCTTTCTTCCCTTTAAGGTTGGGACCTCTGACATTCAGCCAATGTCCTCTTATAGTAAATTTTGATTTACAAATTTAATTTTAATTTCCCATAATTTGGGATTGGGTTGAAATAATTCTTGATTTGTGTAGGCTAGTGTTTAGTTGCTCCTGTTTTGAAAACAACATATTTTTAAATAATATGAAACAGCAATTGATTGTAAAAAAGGAGTAAAATTAACCGATGTTTTTGTGTTCTTTTGGATATTTTATATTTTATATGTTTATTTTTGGCAGTCAGATAAAACCACACAAGCTTAAGTTGGTATAAATAAAAATAAGAATAAAAAAGACTGGCACGTGATGTGTGTTATGGAAGAGGATAGCCACAAGAATAAAACATTTCTCAGATAATCTCAGAAGTGATTATCACGTACATCCCAAACAGAAGTGCGATTATTTTGAAAACCCAATCCAACCGGATGTCTCCCGTTAAACTTTTCCATCTGGACACACACGCACACACTACACACAAAGCAGTGAAGGCTATGGTGGGTTGAAGACGCACGCGGACCTCCAGCGAGCTCGTTCCCAGTGTGATTGACCTGCAGGCGGTGTACCGTGTCGTGAGAAGATGTCTGTGAACGAGGTGTTTGTGTTCCGGCCCTTCAAGCTGATCGCTCTGCTGTGCGTCTTCCTGGCGCTGTGTTTGGACGTGGTGGCTCTGCTGAGCCCAGCCTGGGTCACCGCGGACCACTTCTCCCTGTCCCTGTGGGAGTCCTGCTCCCAGTCCGCGGCACGGGATCCGACGGAGGAGGCTCAGTGGAGCTGCTTCTCCACCCTCACATCTGGTAGGAGTCGGTGTTTGTGTTGGCACCTTTTGGTTTATTTGGGGTTTGTTTATTGGTGTTTGTCCCTGGTGTTGTTGTTGGAGAGAGAATAACCAGACATTGTGAAGAAAAAAAAGCTGCGATCTCAAGGTTGTAGTAATTTAAAGAAGTTTTTTTTTTGGGAAAACTCAGATTTTGTGAATTAAACAGTAACTGGGTGGTTTTAAACCATAGCATGTTACCAGTGGTCTGTTATTAGGGCTGCACTTCACTATGTTTGACATAAACAAAGAGGAATGTTTGTTGAACTGTAGACACCCTCAATGAATAGTTTGTTATGGTTGCCTTGTTGTTCTCTCAGCAGCAGCTGATCAGGGGTTTCTAGTGCTGCTGGTGCTTTTTTTCCTCTGTTCATACCAGAGCAGTGACGTGGTGTCAAACACACTGTGATGCTCAGCTCCTACAGCAACGTGTGACTCATTCACAAGCAAGAATAAGTTTGAATTTAATGACTATGCTGGTGGTTCAATTGTCAGGGTGTTTTCAGAGTTATTATGAATGGTAAATAAGTTAACAAAAGGGGGGGTGGCTGGTGAATCAGAGTCCTATTTAAAAGTTGATTAGTTACATTGATGCTTTATTACTATTTCTAGTAACATCAGTTTCCATGTTAGAAATAACAGAAAACGGATCACATGCAGTGTAGAAGCATAACACCCTACGGCACACAGAGTTAACCCACTCCAACCACCAGAAGGAGATGAGTGTTTTTTGTTTTTGTTTTTAAGAGACGCATTCAGCATCTTCCCCATCATCCACCTCACCAGGCCTGCACCCACCAGGTTGCCTTTTGTCAAGCAGAGAAGCCACATGAATGGAGTGTTTATGCCTCCAGCCCCGTTCCTTTCCCCACCAGGGGAGACAATCCTCATTAAATGCACCACATTTACCAGCATTTGGCTGGTGGCTGTTACAGTAGGCTGGAGCTGTGTCTCCATACAGCAGTGGATTAGTAGTAGAGAGTAAAAAGACTAAAGTGCAAACCACATAAAATCAAATATAGATTTATTGAACTTTTTTAAACATTTGTTGCCAATTCTAGATTTTAGCTGTTAATTTATTTAAGAGGCCCGAGTGACTCTCTTGTTTTAACCACCATCAAACATGCACAGCGAGGAGTGAAACAGCTTTGGGGTGGCTGACCGCTCTCTGATATTGTGGAATGTGTTGGGGTGAATGGGAGGCGGGTTTGTTGCTTTGAGTGTCTGCAGAGCTCATTAAAAGCAACAGTGGAGGGGCGGGTTGAGGTTAAAGGGGCAGTTCACCAAAAGGCAAAGCTGATTTATTATGCACACTTTCTCATATCCCAAGATTCTTGAATTTCAGTCTGTCTTCGGAGTGACGTAATCGGGGCGGACACGATAAATGGCAAGCGACTAGAATAATGCGGATAAAAACAGTGTAATAACTCACAGCCTCTATACACTTGTGATGTGAGTGCACTGTCAAATATTCTTTTAGGGTTTTTTTTGTTTTTTTTATAGACAAAACCAGAACCACATAACCACATAATGGAGGAAAGATGTTAGAATTGTTTTTTCCTGTGGTTGAATCAAATCGAGTTCAGATGTGCCATTTGGGAAAAGTACATTTTTACCATCCTGACGTCAATAAAAGCAGGAGCTGCGAGGAAAGAGAAGATTGTTCATCAAATGTAAATTCTCCCTTTTGAGTCGAGTGTTACCGTCTTCTCGGCACCGACAAGTGTGACATCAAAGATGGAAAAACACAATGCAGGCAGGAATGTAAAAGCATGTCTGAATACATTTCTGGTTTACTGAATAGAAGCTCAGTTCAGAAAGGCTTTTCAAATGTGCCGCATTAACAACCTAGTAAGTCTCTCCGAGGATTACAAATTTGACTCGGGGGGGGAAGTGATGGGTTTAACTTTTCCCCCAGGAGCGACTGGAGTTTGTTTGGAACAGAAACAGAAAAATGGTGCTGTTAAAAACCCGACATCCGGCAGCCACAAGCTGAAACTCCAAGGAGATGATTACTGACAGTATTCCAAAAGGATGCAGCTGTGGTTTCAATATCTTCATCTTCAAGTTATCAGCTGTTGATGAGAGTTTGAAGTACAAACTGGAAACCTCTAAATCTATAATTATTTGTGTTAACGTGTACATTTTGTTTGTTTGATCCCATTAATGTGACCACAGAGTTACTGATCAGGTTCCCGTCCCTCGTGCAGGCCCTGAGTCCGTTCTGCTTCACTCGCTCCACTCTGTGTGGATTAGCTCTTGCTTTGTGTTTGTCAACACAGCGGTTCAATTCAACAGTGCCGCGCCTGAGAGTGAAGCTTTTGTTGCTGCCCTCTAACCTGCGTGTGTCTCGTCCTGCAGACTGGCAGATTGCCACCCTGGTGCTGCTGGTTGCCGGTGCTGTGGCAACTCTCCTGGCCTTTCTGGTGGCCCTGATTTCCCTCTGCAGGGGGACACACAGGCGCCACTACCACACCGTGGCCGTGTTGCTCTTCACTGCAGGTACGTCTTTCGTCTTCCTTTCTATTAGTTTCCCCCGTCAAAAGTTTTGAATCATTCACATGTGTGTCCGCCCTGTATGAATGTTTATCCACTGTTCCCACACATCATGCACATTTCGGAAAGCGATAGACGGCACGTATACCACAACAATTTCCATATAGACAGGGGTTTATTGTTCAAGTAGAAGGGTGCAGAAGGAAAGAAGCAGCTGAAAGAGGCCTGTTGGTTGAGCTCATTCCTTCTGTGGCGTGGTCTAGGGAGCTGCTGGATCATGAGCCGAGGGGAAAAAAGAAAAAGCAGCCGCAGAATTTGCAGACTTGCCACAGAAGTGAAGTCACTGAGGGGGAAGAAACAAAACCTCTTCACCCAGCACCGCCTCATGTTTGGACTGCAGGCTTTGTGAGATGGTCCTTTGACACTGCTGAGGGAGGATCTATTTATGAAACGTATAATTAAAACCAAAGCAGTCAAGACACATTGTTCCATATGCTACGCAGGCGTTGCAATAACTGTCTCATAACCTGTGTTCAGTTTCTGCAGTGATGAAGCTCTGACCACTTACCGCTACTGATCTCATGCCCAGTTCCAGATCGGAAAAATCAAATTAGATTATCTAAGAAACAGACATTCTGTCATGCATCATAAATAACGTGTGTCCCTGCTGCATTTTTACGTCTTGCCCGTGGACTAAACTTAAAGGAATAGTTTTGACATTTTGGAAATTCCACACTTACTTGCTTTCTTGGTGAGAGCTTCTGGAAATGAAAAGATTTATTCCACTCTCATATCCGTCCATTCGAAATGAAGCCACGGCCAGCAGCTGGTTAGCTTAGCTTAGCATAAAGACTGGGAGCATAGGGGGAAGAGCTAGTTTTGGTTTTTGCATTGACGGAAACAAGATATAGCTTGTTTATTGGTGAGCTTTAGAGGTGCTGGTAGGTGAAGTCCGTTGCCTTTGGACAGAGCCACGCTAGCTGTGTCCCCCGTTTCCAGTACTTGTATTACGCTAAGCTAACATGCTGCTGTCTGTAGCTTCATACAGACATTGGAGAGCATCTTACTCTCGGCAAGTGAATTAGTGTATTTCCCACAAATAGTTTCAAACCCATGGTGTGTGGAAAGATATTAAGTTCCTAAGATTTCTGTTTATACCAAATGTGTCAATACAAATAGAATCAATTTCCATTTGATGTGGCCCATTTCATAGATGTATTTAGTGCTGCCCCCTCTTAGTAGAATAGCAGACTAATTGGTCGTTTTGTTCTTTGTCAACTAAGATTTATTTATTTATTTATTTCATAATTATTTCCAAGAAACGTATAAGCACAATCCTGGTAAACACAAGATTTAACGTGGTGCATTTGTGGAATTCCTTGTGGAAAAACTCTATTTTACAGATCTGTCGATTAGTTGACAGAGAATTTCTTTGGTCTTGAACAGCCCTATAGATTAGACTCAATGTCTGGAACAAGCGGATCAGATGGATAATAAAATATAACGTTCTCAAACGCTGTAGACAAATGTTTAATCTAACTTTGGAGGGGCAATACAAGGGATTCTTTTCTAGTTCCGTCTCTGAACCCATCAGTCACAAAGGACCAGTGTGTGCTCAACGGCTGTGCCTTCGACTGTTAGCCATTTACTGAAAAGCGTGGGAAGGCAGTGTTATCCTTTCCTGTGTGTAATTGCTTTAAGAGCCTTTCGAGAATAAGGTCTCCTTACAGGCACACGGTCTTTAGCAGAGCAGAAGCAGTTGGACTCTGTTAAATGCCCCTTGGCAGGCCCGTGGCTGTGTGGTATTTATTTTCTGTCCAGAAATATGACCCCAGCGGGCAGCGCGCTCCGTCTGGGCTCCATCAACACAACGCCGCATTCTTGAGCTGCCGTCGTCCCTCCTGTACGCCCCCCTCTACTTCGTCCTGTAGGAAGGAAAGGCGCAGTTGCGGTCACACAAAGTCCCTTCCTCAAGAGTCACCTAGCATGCACTAAAGGGAGCTAAGGTAGCTGCTGTGAGAGTAGACCACAATGCGCCTTTTATGGCGCACATGCACGTCCTCTCATAATGACGCATTTACCCCCGGTAGCTCATGGGCCTGGATGATTTAAGGGGGAAATTAATCACGATGATGAAGGCATTAAAGTCATTTTCCTTCAGTGATGTCAAGGTCAGAAGAATGATAATTCTTTGAAAAATGGTTCCACTTCATGTCAGAGTAAAGGGAATGCACATGATTTACTTTTGAGTGCAGAAATGTGCTGGTTGAGTCATTGTCGGGGACAAAAGACAGGCCACTTCAGAAGAGCAAGAAACCCACAAGGAAGAGTGTCACACAAAGAGAGTTTCTCTTGATGTTTTCATCTTTTATGGAGATGTCAGACTGGATGAGAAATAGAAATATGATTGATGAAAAACCACATCCTATAACTAGTTATTGCACTTCATTTGATCTCAACCTGTTAAATCACTTTTTGGTCCTCCATTAAGCAGGGCTAAAGAAATTAATTTTAAGCTTTCAACAAAATGCACCTTGGCTAAATGTATTTTACAATTTGACTGTTTTATAAACGATTATTTTATTAGCATCACGGGAATAAAGTTCGTTATGTATTTAAATCGTTCTACAGCGAGGAGGGTTGATACTGAGGCTTATTTCAGCTTATTTTTATGAGATGAAGCAGCAGAAGCACGGACTTGAAGAAGTTAATCACTTTACATAACCATTCTCTTGTTGCCTTCAGTGACTCTCGGTTTGCAGACACAGAGAAACCTTCCCTCCTTTATCCTTCAGCCTCTTTTTCTTAAAAACCAGACACGGTCACATTTCTGCCTTTTCAGCAGCCTCGTTAGCTGTCAGATCTGTGTTTTTACAGGAGCAAAGCCACCAACATCATATATTATATACTTGAATAGTGTATTGTTATGGACTTAACTTACTTCTTGTTTAGGTGTGAAACTAGCGGAGTCAGAAAGAATACATAGAATAGTTCAAAAGAAGGATTCATCTTGAAAAAAGAACCGTTAAATCCAGAGTTGGACAAAGGCAGTGAAGGAGTTGGAAAGAAGAAAAGGAGAGTTTGACATTTTAATGGATAAAGAACATGTAGAGAAAGAAAAAGCAGAAATATTTGCAGTAGCAGCACCAGAATGATGAGTGAAACAGGTGCAGAAAGGACCCAAATGCAATAAAACATCTGGTAAAAGTAAATTATTCTCTAGTAGTAGTAGTAGTAGTACAAGGTGTACTGATGGTGGTTGTACAGTTGTACTATGTTATAACATAAGTGTGTGTCTGGTAGTGTTGGTAACAGTATGCTTGACTCTTTTGGTTCTAGTGGTTCTGCAGTCCTGCGCTCTGGTCCTCTACCCGATCAAGTTCATCGATGGAACAGTTCTCCAGACCTATCACGAGTTCAACTGGGGCTACGGGCTCGGCTGGGGAGCCACCATCTTCATGCTGGGTGGCGGGATCCTCTTCTGCCTGCGGACGGACGTATACGAGGACGCAATGTACTGAGTCCTTTCTCAAACCCACACACACACACACACACACACACACAGAATTCCCATACAGGAGGTGTGCTACTTTTCTTCACTCTGCGCACAGCTTGTGTGCACGCGAGCACAGACACCGTCTCTCTCTTTCTCCTGCTCTCTCTGTTATTTTTAGACCGGTTGTGAAGGCCCAATTTAGGCCAGGGCCTTTTATGAATAAGACGCCCAGAACCCCTCCTCCCATGCAGCCAGCAGGTCCCTCAGCCCTGCCGGTATCAGGGATGAGGCGGGCAGAGCTAAAGCACAGAGAGCTTTCCGGACAGGCATGAGCCACCGATGCTGGACGTTTCCACCGCACGTTGACCTGGATCTCTATTGTTAGAGAAGTGGGACAGTAGATTCTGAGCACAGACCTGAATGTGCAGTGACTGAACATTTAAAGGGATGACTGATCTCCGCGTTTACTTTTTTAAAATTCTTTTCTTAGCATTTCATGAAGACAAGCTTGTTGTTGATGTATTTATGGCACACACTTCATAAATATTGATGAACTTCCCCCTCCGTGTGTTCTAGCTGAAACATATCTAGTAATGCCAGGCCTTCTGATAGTAGAACTGTAAATTAGATATATGCGACAGCTCTCGAGTGTTTATAGTTTGTTTGCAAACTCACACTAGTCTGTCTCAAATTCAACATGTAAATGTGTACAAAGTATTTCTACATGAAGGAAAATCCAGAATAAACAATTGTAGTTTTGGGAGTGTTAGAAGTGTGAGTTAACGTTGATTTCAATACTAAGACATTCTGCCGCTCTGACACCAGCGGCTCACAAACTGACCTCCGACTGAATTTAAAGAGGGGGAGCATCAGGGGTGTCACCCTTTTTATTTATTTATTTTTTATTTTTTTTTTGGGACCAAACCGCAATGAGACAAAAATGCAAAACACTTTCACTCTCCAGAGCACACATTCCTCAGAGGAAACCACCCCAGGCTATTTAAAGAGACACGCCCAGTTTGTTAGCTTGCAGCTAGTTGATGTGTGAAAATATGACACTTTGGTTGAAACATAATGAGCAACATAAAATATTTTATTGCAGACTTTAAGACACATTTTTGCAGTTCAACTTTACACCTTCCAGGGTGTATATATATATATATATATATATATATAATCTGGGGCATTATCATTATTTGCTCACAAGCCAAAATTCAAATTACAGCTACTATTTATTTTGAAATCTCCTCTTTTAGTTTGCAGATCAAAAGGTAGCTGGAAGTAGTTTATTCATGTTTTGGTCAAAGTGTGCTAATGTAAGGCAACTTTTAAAAGATCTCTTTTATTTTGTGTAAAACAGAAGGCACAGCCACACATGAGCAGCCTGGTGTGAAGTTTTATCTTTAGCCCCCCGGAGTTCAACAGCTGGTTAAATAGTCTCCAGAGAGGGAACCACTGCAAATAAACAATCTCCCCAGCTGCTGCGGTGTGAAAACTGTGGACATTATTTACGCCCGAATCAACAGCTCCGAGGCAAAGTAACCGGAATTACTCCGCCATGTGAACCTGACGCTTGGCTCCTGTGAAGAGTTTTATGTGGTGTGTTGAGGGTGTGAGGTGCCGGGCCAGTGGTTGTCTTATAATAGCAGTGACCTCTCTGGAATCTTTCAAAACATTACACACACATGTGATCACATTACTTTGTTGTCCCACATGCGTGTAAAGCATGTTGTCTTGAGTTAAACCTCAGTGGAGAGCACAATGTGAAAAGATGTTTTCACAATGTGGAACACGGATTCAGGACATTTAAAACATTTATTCTACAGTAGAAGAACATTTACTCTCTCTTAAAGGATACACAAACACCCACAGTATACCAGGTGACATACATAATATGCAAATGTGTTTCCCTTTGCTTTGTAAAGGTGAAACTGCCAATGGGTCTTCAATCTCAGCACAACACCCACACAGTTTCTGCTCTTCTTGCATTACTTGCCACTGCACAGTTAAGAGGAATATGCACTTAAACAAAATGTCTCACAAAAGACAATGTTCAAAGACAGGAGTGCTGGTTACTCATTTGCCCTGTGATCTTGTTCTGTTCACTTGCCAGCATGCCAGAGAAAGATTTAGTATGTCCCAATATATCGTGTGTCAAATGCAGTATGTCAAAAAAAATACCAGGACGTCCTACTGCGTCCGGTCGCATTTTGCAGTTTGCAAGCCAACATGCTTTTCTGGGTATACTGACCCACAATTATTTGCTCGGCTGACAAATAAGCCAAAAGGGGTTAAAGTTCGAGGTGCAATGTTAAGACGAAGTAGTATGTCCCAATTGAGTGCATGCTGCATGCAGCAGTACGTACTTTGGAAGGGCAGCTGCAGTGTGTACCAAAAGTAAAAAAGTATGAGATTTGGAACGCAGGCTTGCTTTTGCCTCCACCATGAGCACCAAGTTTGACCCACTCACATGATTAAGTCTAACTTCTTCTTCCAGCTAATGGGCAAACATGATAATGCTTGCTGTGGTGAGGCTATGCGAGCCGTCATGAATCACAAGAGCAAAATAGTTGTGATTCTGTTTCTCAGCTGAAGGGTGACATCAATCTGCAGCATGTTAAGCAGAAAATGTGTATCCTAAAACATTTTTTTGAGGTGTTTATCGTGACTCTTTTCTGTATGCTGTATACAAATGAAGTGAAAATATATACAGTATGTATCATATCAATCATGTCCCAAATCTGTTGTTTTTTGCTAAGATAGGCAGGAAAACAAGCTCTACGCTTGCATTCAAACAATGGCATCACGTCACCTTTAAGTTTGTACTGATACAGATATGAAAGCACCAGACTGACCTGAAACACCAACTCAAAATGATGAATATCAAATGTATAAACCTGTTATTAATATACACATTTGTACAAGCAGAATAATTTTTTAGAACAATTTTTAGAGCAGCATGCACTCATCTCTGAATACTTTGGATATGACTACAGTTTTTCCTTCTACTGCAGAGGATTAGCACAACTCTTACTGGACCTCAGCAGAGAAAACCAAAGCATGGCAAATCGTTCTCTCCAGCTGTTTGGACCCGCAACACATTTAGTCACAGACGATTGCAAATCTCAAAGCAGGGAAGTGTATTTGAAGTGAAAGTGATGGGTCCTTTTGAGAGAAGCCCGGCCCCTGGGTGCAGTAACCAGCCAGGCCCTGCACTTTTTCACTCTGCAGGGACAGATTCCAGTTACTGAGCCTGGGGGACGGAGACAAAGATGGACTCTGACATCTTTGTGCCTGGGGAGGGAAGTTATTGTCACAGTGATACAATTCTGCAGAGATGTACTACAAATGCAAGACATCCAATCATAAATGCAAACCATAGTTGTCCAGCTCCTCCTGTGATTCTCAGCAGTGGACGTCCTCTGCAGACTAGTGAAGCAGATAAATGGAATGAAAAGTCATACCTGGGCTATACATTACCCTCCAACCAATCGTCTATCAAGCTTGGCTCCACCAAAATTACATATTAACCTGAAAAAAGTTGCTCATTTCTCCTCCACTATCACACTTCTGCTGCCTGCAGCCCCCCTGGGTCCCGCTAAACCCACATACTGCCACTGTATACTCAACATTGTTTGCATACAACGGTCAAATCACTTGCATAACACTTTCTTAACTCGTCATTCATTAGTTATCTTCTGTTTTGTTATGCAGGCAGGGTGCAGAAGTCAGAGTTTGCATTCAAATATGCAACTTCTAATTCACCCATGACATAAAAATGACGACTATCAGTGTGTGTGTGTGTGTGTGTGCATGCTTTATGAATGTTTCTCTCATTTATTCTCTACTGATTAATCATACAAGAACTCTATCTCAACAATGAGCCAAATGAAGTTACCAAGAGAGACACAACTACCCACAGACACACACACATGCACATGGACAGTCAGGTGTGAACGAGGCGTCCTGGTGTGGGAAGCTGTCAGCTGCATAACTGACCTTGTGGATGTCAATGAATGTTGGATCAAACGCTGAAGAACAGCCGTCAGCCTGGAGCCAGATGGTTACTTTCCCAACATGAAAGAAATGCAGTGGAAGTTCTACATTTAATGAACACTTGCACTGCAGATTGATGAGATCTACATGAACAGAATAGAGTAGTCTGTTAACATACAAAGGAAACATAAGAGCTTCCTTTTTTTTGCAAAGTTTCAATCCAAATTTGATCTTCCTCAGGCAAATGCTTAAACATAAAGGTAATGATAGAGCCTGTATATGACTAGTGGCATCATAACCGCTTCATCACACTCACATGTGCCAAAATATCCATGGACAGCTGCACACAGGTAATTGAAATATATTGTACACAATCGTTTAATCTGTAGATCACAAGAGAATCTGCTGAAAGTATAAAGGACCCTAATTTCATCTATGAACGTGTTGGGTGCTATAGATTGTCTGAACACTAGAGGGCAACGGGAGCTATAACAAAAAATAAAGTCTTCCTAACTGTATATACACTAAAAGCAGGTTATCTTCATAAGTAAATTTGATATCATCATAAAAGATCATTTGTGCCATGGACCATATAAATAAATATAAACCCATCCTGATTCTTCCCTTACACTGCTGTTTCAGTACGTCACAGTTGAAAAGTACTATTATTTGCATAATGAAAAATAATTTAAATGCATGTTTTAACATCTGATGTTACTCCTGGAAACCAAAGATGTATCTCTTCACTATTTGAAATGACAGAACACTGCTTACTATAGGAATTCAAAGGCACTCATTGAAGTTAATTTCATACAAATGAAACTGAGAAATTGAGATTGTTGTTCCATAGCTGGTATTGAGGGTGACTTATGGGAAATTTTAAAACCATTTTGATTCTATGAAAACGCTGCTAGACAACTACAGAAACATTATGCGCATATTGCAACAGAGAGTGTTATCTTTGTTCATGTTTATACTACTATATCATAAGGCGTGTATACAACGGAGAATAGAAATAGTATTTATAAGTATTTCCAGCTATTTCAGTCATGACAGACAAGTTCAAGCAGATGTTAATTATATATATATTTACAGAACCGTTTTCATTTAAAAAAGTATATCACCTCTAGTTATTTTCTTCTGTCAACAGACGATACAAACATTTTTTATTTTGGTGATGAGTTTTCAAGGAAAGGTTTCAACTAGGGGACGATTTCATCAGGTTCAGCTTTATTATCAATGCCTGAAACACACACTGAGCCACTTTCATTAAGTCATTGTATCCATTTAATATCTGTTAATAAACAGTCTTAAAGTAATTCACAAAACTACAACTCATAGTGCCTTCAACAGTACGCTTTATTTTAAATAGCCAATACAATCAATCAGAAAAAACACTGCTGATGTCCAGTGGCTTGGTAGACATTTTGGTTAATACAAAAATCCCATGAAGTAAACCATACACCCCAAAATCCCATTAAACAGTATACTCATGTTAAATACAGTACAAAGCACAAATCCACTTCAAACACATCATCCTGGTACACTGGAATTAGACATGGTAATACAATACTCGTTAGCTGAACTATTTGGCAAGACTTAAGGCAAAAAGTAAACCATTTAACATAAAAAAAGACTTCAAAATAGAATTCTATATTATTTCTTCACAACATGGAAGTGAGCCGTTGCTGACTGAATCAGCTGGAAGGATATCTGGCAAATAATAAAACATCGAAAACAAATTCCCAAGGAATACCTCATTTCTCCTCAATACAACATCTGCAAAGTAATCTCTTCTGACTAAATCAGCTGGCAAGCGTTTTGGCAAAAAGTAAACAGCCAACCATAAAAAAAAATAAATAATAATAATCATAAGCATACAATTCCAGTTACATTTCCTGTAAATTCAAGCCTTTGATAAATAAAAAGCAAGCGCAGTGCATCATGTTGGATTAATAGAATACTGTTTTGTAACACGTAGCCTATGAAGTAACCTGCTAGAGCCTTCAGCCCAACATGTAATACCCCCGAGGAGGTTACAATCTCAGGTGAAGACTGTGTGGCATCGTCGAAAGCTTCATTGTGTGACCCTGAAAAATGAGAGAGGTTTAATTCTACAACAAAACATTCAACAGTGGTGGTGTGTTTGAGAGCGATAAAGGTGCACGTTTTCTTGTCTTCTTAGGCCTCCGCCGCTGTGAGCACTGAATTTCTGGCAGAGGGTGGTGAGCAGAGAGTTCGGCTTCTTCCCTTGTCTCGAGATCTTCCTAAAATGGAAACACAGTTTGCAGTGAGCTTATTTTCTCCTTTTATTGTGAGTCCAAAAGCACCTGGAAGACGTTAATTTAACCCAAAACATGATACTTTCCTAAACCTAACCAAGTATGTTTGTTACCTAAACCTAAGGAGATTTCTGGCAGAAAGCCCTGAAGGAAAACTTCTCCCATGTGTACTTTGGGTGGGTTCTTTTTTTTTTTATATATATATATATATATTAAAAAAAAAGAACCATTTATATATATTTATATTTATATTTATATATATATTTATATTTACTCACATTGCCCCCACACACAGCAACAGCACCAGTATGGCGATGATGGCAAGAGCTACATATACATAGATAGGTACCATGTCCCATCCTGGTTCAGGTGCCACTTCTTTCTTCTCTAAAGACAAAGCAAACACACACAATGTTCAGGTTACGTATTCCCTTCATCAATAAAAGCATCTATCCATGAACCTTACAAAGACAAGTCAACTAAAATCTATATAAACAATAAATTATCAACGCAATGTCCAAATAAAGCAGGAGATCCCCATTCGGACATTTTATAAGTAATTTGGACCCATTTGTATTGCGTAAGCTTTATAACAGTAAGAGACCGGCAAACAAATTGTATATATATATATATATATCATCACAATAAGACAATTAAGTCAAGCTAAGCAGAAATCACACACACTAATTAAAAGAGTCACAAATAGTATTAAAGACATCAGCAAGAAGAATATTAAAGTCCCTCAGAGGAATTTGCAGTTCATTCCAGTGGTGCAAGGTGCAGAGTACTAATACACTTCAAACTTAACCTTTGAATATCTCAGCAGCTGATTGTCTTTAATTAGCTTTCAACTTTGTCATATAAATCCTGGAAAAGTGTTCGACGACCCTCTCCACCCTGCCTGCTTGTTTGGCTGCTTTCTTTTCAGGTACTAGAGGTAGAAGTATCAGATGTTCATCAGCAACACTAGCAACACCTGGGCCCTGTGCTCCTAAAAAAAAAAACCCCGTTTGAGCTCAGTTTACTGCCTCTTTCCTCCCCGAGACCCCCCACTTGGTTTTTGGTTGGCATTTTGACTCATGTTGCTGCATCATACAACACGCTTTTCCACTCATGCATGCATCCACCGACATTGCTGAACTTACTGATTACACATGCCACTGTAAGTTTAAGTTTTCCTCTTGTTTTTAAAAAAAATAAATAAGAATATTGAATTGGTTGTGTGCATCTCCTTCTTTTGTCATGTCCGTGCGGCCAAAGTGTGACAGATGTCTTGAGTATAATGAATCAAACGGCACAGTGGTAAAATGACATCCAGTGGTTTAAGGGTTGTGGCACCAGCATAAACATACAGGATATGTCCATATTCCAGAGTATATAGTATCATGGTTTGTATAATGGTCTGTTTTGAAAGGACAAACCAGCTCTGTCTCCAATAAGAGTTTTTGAGTTCATAAGTTTTGTAGGATTTAGTACCAAACCAAATTCCTAAGTACTTATATAATGCTGTATTGTCACATATATCCACAGAGTAGTAACATCAAAGCTCTGCGCTCTTTTCTTTTTAAGGCTAAGAAAATGTTAAATTGATAAAAGTGCAGTAAAGCCAATAGCATACAGGATGGCATCATCAGCATATAAATGAACAGTGCAATATTTAGCAGGAAAAAAATATATTATTTATGTACATAAAACAACTAGGGGCCTAATACTGACCCTTGTGGGACACCATTATCAGTCACCTGGAGTGCAATGAAGGAGACTCGCACAGAGTTTGATCAAACATTTTATTCTGCAAAAACATTGTGATGCTTCAAAGCAGAAGCTACAGAATACTTTAGGTCCTTTCCCTCAGTTTTGGTACTAATAGGAATTTAAACAGGCAATACATTTGGCAAGAATCTTGCCAAATCATTAAACATGAAAACAAAGAACCCATTAGTTTAACATTGGTGTACACATCCAGCTGGCAGCTTCATCTACATTATCAGAAACAGTTAGATAATACTTGTCAGTCAGTACCTTCAAAAATACAGTTATACACCTCAAGTGACTCAAATGTCCTTTCAACAAAAAAAGTAGTCACATTAGGCAATGGAGAAAAATAATCACTAAATTTGTGCATTTCAGTCCTTGTCATCCAATTCCCACTCTTTACCTGGAAGGTGTTGATGCAAGGATACATCGTAGACAGACAGTTTCAGTCGCTAAGGGGTACATCCTTCTATTGAAGTAATTCAACACAAACTCAGACACTTTTTTAAATACTAGATTTACAAGTAGCGACCAACCCGCCTTAAGGTGCTTTATTAAGTGGTACACATTTCCACACAAATTAACACAAAGTTCAATGTCGGCCACTGGATGTCTCATGTTTGAAGCTGAAACAATACATTTGTGGTGCTGTTGCATTTATCACGTTTAAACCTCTCAAAATGATCACAACATAACATTTTGTTCAGGATGCTCCCAATCCTCAGATGCTCCTTCATCCTTCACTGATCTTGGCAGCATTAGTGTCTAAAAAAACATCAAAACAAATAGAGACAAATTAGAAAGTTCACGCAAATTATGATTTATATGTAATTGTATTCGTTTGGTTTTGTAAAAAGGGCCATGATGCTTTGATGCTGTATAGCCTGCAATTACATTGTTATTTTGCCACACCCGCTGTAGGCACATTAGACAGCATGTCAAGCAGATAATTATGCCACTTACACAACACGTCATAACATTTATGGCTCTCACAACTTCTCAAATCATTTATTAAAGATATATTTGTTGTATAGTATAGGATAAGGATAAGAGCAAAATAAAGTAAAATTTAATTTGACAAAAGACCAGAAGGCATGAAAATAATAGTCTATGCCATATTGTACACCTGAATGCAATTTATGTTTCGCAATGTCATAAAAATTATAAATAACTAAACTTACTGTTTTATGATCACATCAGGGTCTTCCAGGACGGACTCCAAAAAATATGTGTAGCTCATGAGGACTCATTGATGTTGTAGAAACAAAAACGGTTGCTTCATAGCTTTTTTTTTTTTTTTTTTAAATGTGTATACCTGGAAAAATTTTAATTAATCCTCCAGAAAAGACAGATTAAAAATAAATCTCAGGAATTTAAGGTGTCATATTAGTTTTTTCAAATTTCTGTCTGTGGCACTTTGCTACGTATATCTCATGAGGACACCCAGACAAAGACTGGGAAAGTTTAAAAATAAGCTTGTTTGTCACACTCAGATGGTAGAAATGATATGGTATTTTCAGGTTTTCTTCATAATAACGAAAACAAAATATGTTTTACTGCAATGCTATTGGTAATTTGAAACATCATTACCTGGGTGGCATGTCGGACGACTCCATTTGCTCCAAAAGCTGTTGTCTGCACAATACTTGTCCAACTTGGACCGAACCTTGAAGCAGTTTTTCTGATTGTCATGGTTGGAGGGCAGCGTTAGGTTCCTCTGCCTCGTTGAAATCAGCTGCTGTCAATAACAAAAATGTGTAGAGAAGTGATTATAATACAATACAAATTAGAGTTAGAGAGTCAACACACATATCCCAATGCCTAAATTGACTTTAAGCTGCATTAATCAACATTTCTTTATTTAGTCTCATTTAGCTCACTAGTTTTATGGCACATTTGGTTCAGTCTCAACACCCTCATTAACCCAGCTTTTAAAAACATTAGCTGTGATGCATCAAACTGCACTGCAGAAATTCTGGGAACATTATCAGATATGAGAAGAAATTATATGATGATGCATGTTATGCACTTGGGTTTTTGTTTCCTCCGTTTCCTCCTTGCGTGTCATGTTTGGCTTCACTTCCGTTCTTGTGAGTTTTCCCGTCTTTTTGATTGTCTGCTCTGCCCTGATTAGTTTCACCTGTCCTCTCCTCACCTCCTGCTCACCTGTTCTAACTTCCCTTGTTAGTCAATCCCTATTCATGCCACCTCAGTTTCTTTGTTCTTTGCTGGCGCTGCATAAATTGCTGTATGGAGTTTGGCTACCAATTTTGCCTGCTTGCACCTGCCTGCTTCTGACTTCTTTCATTTAATCTTTTAAGTGTACAAGTATGCCTGTTTTGCCTGCAGTTTAGGGATTATTTGACTCTTCCCCTCTATGCGTACACACCTCTCACAGCAGCCTAATCCTGTTTTCTGCAGGTGGTTCTGCAGTACTTTTATCACGCTTGCAGCTGAACAATTGACAGATGTAGAAAACTATACACCGAAACCCTGAAGCAGAAATGCTCATATTACGTACCGAAGAAGTTTTCCCATCAGGTCCCTCTTGTTTGTGTTCCACCTCCCATTCTAGACATTGTTCAGGAATGCTCCCAACTGGGCTTTCCCAGTGTAGTTGCAGGTGCTTGCCTGGACCGGATTGCAGATGCACCTTCTCTGTGGTTTCAGGCTTCACTGTATGAACATTAAACAAATGATGCACTGATTACAGATTGTGACAGGAAGCTGAGAGGTCAACAAATATACTGCATGTTGGTGAGATCCCAGCGGAGCAAGTAATGACTCCAACACAGGGTAAAACAGCCTTAATAATCACTATGCTCTCATTAAGTTTGCATGTTAAGGCAAACCTTCATGTACCGTGGTTTTGGATTTCCAAGGAGATGAATGTAGTTTCCAGGGGGCCTTCAGGAGAGGAGCCATTTACACAGAAGTTGATATCGGTGAACTCCGGGAGGGATTTTTTAGTGAAGTTGCAGCCGCTCCTGGTTCCGCCCGAGATAAGATATTTTGGGCATTCATCTGCCTGTTCCAGCCCCTTGTGCCTTAGGAAGAGACATAACACATTGCTTAAATGGGTGCTATCTATCCATCCAGACAGTTTTGTTGAGAGTTGTTGAGGTTTGAAGATGTATGATTACCATCATCTTAATTCTTCAAAGGACAATGGCCTTTATTTCTTATTATAATAAGATCTTGGCACTAAGGTAGATTTAAACAAATCAAGCAATCACCAACGTTGTTCAGGTTCATCCCCAGGGGATCTTGAAAGTAAATAGGATTTATCTTCTCAGGACCATGGATGTCTTTACAAAATTTCAAGGGAATCCATCTGATATATATTTTGTTCTGGACCAAATAGGTGGTGCAACTGACCTCGGAGGAAATTGCTAAAAAGGGCTTTGATGGGCCCATAACATACCAGAAATACAGATTTTGCCGTGAGTTGGCAGGCATCTTTGGGTTTGCCCTCCAATTGCACTCCAGGTACTGCCTGTTATGGTACACACAGACAAAATCCTGGACTGCAGTCCCCACAACACCTTGAGGTAGGAAGGCCATTAAAACCAATCAATGTCAATTCATACATTTTCCAAATATCTCATTCTAATGTATTTACCACCATTTATACACCTGGAGCACTGACCTGTGCTGGAAGGTTTCTGGACCAGTTCAGTGTAGCTTGTGCTCTTGATCATAGTGCCGTTGGTGCAGGGTCCACTCAGCAAGGTGTACACTCTCACTCTCACATCTTTCATCAGATCAAACTGGGCACTGTGCTCCGTCCTAGACATCCTGATAGCCTGCCAATCCAGAAACACAATCCCGCTATTCAGATTACAGTTTATTCATATATACTGCGCTCAAACATTCAACAGATGCCTTTGGACAGAAAGTTTGCTTCCCAATCTTCAATAAACCTGATGCTGTGTATTCAAAGCTGGTTATTGTGGAAATTTGATGCCTGAAAGTCAATTATTTAGGGATAACTTTTACTGGAATATTTTAAGAGGATCAACAAAGCTTTATGAAAGTTAAGCCACGTGAACCTGTTCTTACATTGAAACACATCGAAGCATGATGATTATTGCTCCATACACTACATGAGGATATGGTCTTCATTAAATGAAGCTGTAGCAGATTTCCACTCGAATGTAATGGACAGTATCAGGGGCGTTTCTGGGATTCAAAGAAAGGGGGGGCTTAGCCCCAAGGGCAGCGTCATGTTTGCGCGCGTTTGCAATTTTTTTGGGGCCCATTTGGGGCCGTGGATAGCCATTGATTCAGACAGTTCATAGATTGGTTCAATCAGAAAGAGTGTGATTTTGCTCTGTAGTTTTGCTTGCATTCAGTATATGATAACACAAGAGACAGAATTTCAGGGTCATAGTGAAATTTGACAACACAGATATGAACTTTTCTCAAATAAAGAGAGAGAAATAATTTTAAAAGGAAAGATGGATAAACTAGCTTTCATATCCGCGTCACTCCCAAATCCTAATTCTTAAAAGGGACCGCACACAATGGATGGAGAATGGACCTGACAGTGTCAACTTTATATCGTTAAGTATGATGATAGGCTATTGGATTGTAATTTGAAGGGGAGAAAACATACAAACCAGAACGCACGCACATATGTAGCATGTTAGAGTTATAAATAACTTGTCCATGTGAGAAACAATAGTTTAATTTAATGACATGACCAAAATAATATATATATTTTTTTATTTTTTTTTAAATCCAATAATGCCAAATTATTTGGGGGGGGCTGAAGAACATTTTAGGGGGGCTGCAGCACCCCTAAAATAGGCCTAACGATGCCCCCTGGACAGTATGTATGCCCCTGGACACAGAATAAACCTGGTACAATTTCTACAGAAAGCAGTGAATAAGTGACTCAACACTGTGAAGCGCCATAATAAAACGAATGCAGCAGATCATCAAGTGAAGCGGCTGAAGTCTAAGGATACATCATTTAATATGCATTTTTTTTTTCACGTTCCTTGTTTCACATATAATTAAATAATCAATTAGGGTTGTGTGAAGTAAAGCAGCTTCCAAGGTGACATCAAACACGTCATTTAATTTAACTGTTAAATCTGGATCTTCATGTCTGGATCTCATTCCATGTGGGTATGAGATGAACTGCATCCTTTTAATTGACTCATTAACATACAGTAGCTGATAATATCACGCTATATTGATCATTTCTGGCATGAGAATAGGCAAGTTAAGAGCCTCTGTGTAAGAATTGAATGAAAACACTTACATCCCAGCTGTTCCTGTATGTGTCGAAGTACTCCAGCTGATAACGTTTTGAGCAGTCTGTCATATTCACCAAGCTGGCTGGGGGGCACCATCTAATCTGGAGATGTCCAAAATGACCAGGGTCCAATATCACAAGGTCCTCAGGAGGATCCACTGCAAGAGAAAACCGAATGATTTACAGAGTGTCACCGTGTTTTTCTATTGAAAAGTATGTTTAGTGTGACTGTTAATGCTCACTCTGTGTTTAAACAGGCACCCTCTTGCAAAAAAAAAAAAAAAAACCGACACAAGTGATAAACAAGTGAAGAGTGGCATGCGACTGATAAATTAATAATTGACAGATCTGGACCAACCTGTAGGTCCATTGCAATGCGTGCTCTCGGGACAGGTTATTAAGAGCAGCATTAGTGTTGGCCAGGATTTACTCGCCATTCAGATGTGTGTACACGCTTACAACCAAGACTGTGAAAAACAAATACAGATTAAAAAAAGTTGTAAAATAGAGTATAGAATAGAAATGTAGCCTACTTTGTAATATATTTCTTAAGCATGAAAAAATCCCCGAAAAAATAAGACGTTAAATATAAAGAGTTTTAGAATGACTGATGTAATATTACATAAAATATTGCTAGAAGAAATAAATCTGTCAGACTTAAAAATGTACTTACGCGAACGTGAGGCAGGTTCAGGACTTCAGGGCACTGACAGTGTTGACAGTGTGTGCTGCTCACAGGAGGCGTCTCGCTCTATTCAAGGCAATGGTTGAGTAATCCCATATCCGCATAATTAATGTATTGGTGTGAATACAAATATAATGTGCTGAAGAGGAGGAAGCGTATGAGGGAGGAGACACAGACAGTTCTAAGAAAATAATATTCCTTTCAATCATGTCATGTTGGCTCTTGTGTGGTTGAACACATGTCCACTGAATTCCTCCTTCTCTTGGCAACAGAAAGAAATGTTTTTTTCTGCGTTGTCAACCACTTTGGTAAGTCCAGTGCTTTTGTGCCGTGGTCCATATCCTTATTATAGGCTAATTCTCACTGTCGCCATGGGAAAAGTTCATACAAATCCTTCATTCACACCTGTCAACACATCTGTCAATGGCAATATATAGCGTGGGTGAGGTCGAGCGTAACGGAAGGTAAGCGTCACCGTTCAGGTTATTCAAGAAGCTGTAAACGACTCTTAGGAAAAAAAACAAAGAACACAGAAAAGTCGAATGGAGGAGTCTGATGCACGAAGCTGGGCATGGAGGAGGAGCTACGATAACGTAGGTGAGGATGGAGAGAAATCAACTAGGAAAAGCTGCAGGAACCTATAATTGTTAACGCATGGGTTTATGTGCATACCTGTGTGTTCAAGTGCAGATTGTCTCATGCACTAAAACCAGACACACTATCCAATCCTAAACAACACAACATCAGAACTGGTTTAGCTGTAATGCCCAAGTCCAGCCTGAAATTACATTATTATGGTCATATTACTAGATCAACTCTTCAGGTGCAGCGATTTTTCTTCTTCCAATTGTTTTTGTGCTAAAACGGCGGCTTACAGTTCAGCTGGGTGGCAAAATAAGTGCGAACTAAGTGAAATATAAAATCTGTAAATGAAAACTAAATCAGACACACAGACCTCATCCTCAACTCAGAGTGCCATCAACATTGAATGCATAACAAAATGCTCCTGGGCCTCAAACTGTACGCAATTATCGCTCTTCTCTGCCACGGGTTTGCACGCTATAGTAACCTCATGAAAGAAAAAAGCATCAGACATGCCAGCATAAACCTCTAAGTGATCAATTATCTGCAGTTTTCTGTTGGTGACACATTGTGTTTTACCAGGAAGTAATAAATTCCTGGGCACAAGTCAGTTTTTAAATTACAGTAAACAGTCATCCATTAAACAATAGAAAACAGATTGAGCTCAGAGAACACGTCAAGCTGGACAGAGAAACAAAGATGTGAGAAACAAGACCCAAATGAAGGCTGACATAGATCAAAGGTGTGGTCCAAGCAAAGGTGTCAGAAGTAGGGAGGTAGAATGTGCGTAAGGAGCCATTTGCCCCACCACTGTACATCCCCGGCCTCATTCGGGCATCGCTGCTGCATGGTGTCATCCCACTGCATGATTGTCTCTGGTGATTTCTAAGCTTCTGACTCACTGAAGTTCGTGTTTTGGACTTGGGTGGTTGGTTCCCATCCATTGTGTGTCAGGACTGACTGTCTAACTCACAACATTCCAACAATTTGTTTTGTCACAGTTCATGTTGGTAGCAACAACTGGAACCAAATGCACACAAAGACATGCAGACTGTAGGCACATCGAGCAAAGAGCTCCAGTGGGCAGAGCCTGAGATGACGAGACAAGACAAGACAGACTGAGCTGCAAAGAATTTGACTTTATTTGACATGGACCACGTTTGTTTTGTTATTTGTAAGAAATCCCTGGACTTTATACAGATGATATGTACAGAGGTTGAGCTCCAGCCACTCGGTATTCTTGCATGCATTTGACTTTTAAATACAAAAAGCGTTTATATACATACATTTGAATTTTCTTGGCAGTGTGGTATTTAGACATGACTCACGGATTCACTGTTTTCTTTGGATGAGATGATAAGATGAAGTGTTAAAATAAAAAAAATACAGGTACAGATGTAGTTAGTGCAATAATGCAGAAAAACAAGTGACGTGGGCTTATCACCAAACCACATAATATCACAGCACCTCTACAGTGCGCCAGACTGACGTCTCCCATGTTGCAGACATTTGTCAATGTTCATTGTGTTGTGTTGCAGGTGTGCTTTAAAGTGGGTATCACTTAGAAACATGCTGACTTGCTCCCACGCCTCATAAAATAACTGCCCCGAACCCTTTTTATCTGTACAACAAAAGAACCAAATAATAAAGAACCGGATAGAAGAGTTAAATTGGATGATAACACACACATTCAGATATTACTCTTGATCAGTAGAGGATGTATGACTCCTCCAAACAGGGCAAACATTTTAAAGGATAGGTTCAAATTGTTTCAAGTCTGTCTTACTCACATACCCATATGAACAGTGAGAGATTTCAGTCGCTACGATCATTCCTCCAGTTCACCCTGCCCTGAGGAATTCTCCTTTTAAAGAGTTTCCTGTGTAAAAGATGGGAGGCCAAAATCCCCAGCCCTGATTCTGTGGGAAAGTACTTTGTGACGTTCAGCCAAAGCGAATATGAGGCTTCAGCAGTTCTGAGATAGACTCATCAAGCAGGTATCATCTGAAGATAAGTCTTTTCAGTACAAGATTCCCATTGTGTTACTATTCCTCTGCCACAGTTCAACAAAGAATTTCATAGAATTTCACACTATAACGACTGTAAAGCTAGAAGATACTCGCTTGACTGCTGAACCCTCATATTAACTTTGGCTGAACCTGCATTTTTGCAATGATTTCTTGACAGCCAACTTAAACTGTGTCAATGTACATTTGGGCATGTGGACCACTGTTTTAAGATATGAATAGATAGATAGATAGAAATAATGTAAACAAATCCATGAAACAAAGACTTAGCAACGGCCGCCAAACATACACTCACACTGCATGTGGTATTTCACGTTCAGTTTTTGCAAATCATAACACAAACCATCTGGATACACCTCCGTCTCCATGCTGTGAGATCCACTATCTGTCTACAGCGGTGAGGCTTTTTGCTGAAACACTAAAGCTTGCAATCGGAGGATATCCTCGTGATTTGGCACTTGGTTAATTTACAGTAAAACAATGAAAGGGCAGCTGGACATACGGTAGCGTATAAAGGTAAAAACAAGAGCAAGGCACCAGTGTTTTGTCCACCTTAGCTGACAGACGTTGAATGAGTCATCTCACCTTTTACAGTGCAAACTACATATATACGCATCAAAGGAAGGAGGGTGAGGCCCCACACTTACATAAGTCATATTTTATGTCTACAGCAATCACAACAAGAGAGATTCCTTTGCATTTTAGTCAAGCATATGCATGTGTGTGATTAACTGAAGAACTCAAGGGACATAAAGCTGCACGACATTCATTTGAATTCTATGTAGGGAGATATACCATGCCCAAGCATGTTAGTGCATTTCACCATGGACAGACGAAGTTCTAGAGAAGACACAACGATACACTTTAATGCCTTGTTGTTCAGCTATAGCGTCAGCCGGCGTCTGTAATGCTATCATAGCGCTGTGCGCTACAATTTTTGGCAGCTTGTGTCTTTCTGTATAAGACACAGGCGTGTCATAAGACTCTGTGAGTATTTTACACCCGAGGCCTAATAAACTGGATGCCCTGTATTGTTTTGCATCTCTGTGTCTTCCTTAAGTATTGCATTTAAAGCTGGAAAGCAAAAAGAGCCGACTCATGCTTGTCATGCCAAAATCTAAAGCATCCTCTGAAAAAAAACAAGGACAGGGAGGAAAACTATAACTCAATATTGTAATTACATAAGACTGCAGAAAAAACAATGAATTTTCCCATTTAAGGCACAATACGTCCTGTTTTTAGATGTTTCAATGCGGTTTAACATGATGTTTGAGAACTTTCCGGGTGTTGAAGTGGCTTTAAGGACTGTTGTCCTCCAAGATGTTTCAGCTACAAAACAATACACTGTTTAAGCAATTTTTGCATCATGATCACTAGATATTAACCGCCTTGCCTACTTGTTTCTGTTTTAAACATGGGGTTTTGTGTTAAATACAGGCCACTATAGCTTAACTAGCAAAGCCTTTGTAATAGCCACAGGTCATTTAATTGAATGACCAATGTGTCAAGGATAGCGGTCAATACAAGTCCTCAGGTACACCGCAGAGGCCGGGACTAACAGTAACCTGACAAGAAGATTGATATTGCTCTGCAGAAATAATAACCCTTAAATAAGAAACTAATAACATATTTAACACATAAAAAGTTAACAACTTTATGAGGAAATGACAAACACTGTAAGGAATTTTCAGTTTAGAACACCTCTAAAGTCGTCTTTGTGAACAGGTATGCAGGTACGTCTTATGCTGTCAGCTCTACTGACAAAGGATGGTTTATCAACTCCCACACAGAGTGATTGTCACGTTTTAAATACACGTGTTACAGATGTCACACTATGCCGTTATGTGTTATGCAGATGATTCACAGAGTTATTAAGTTAAACACACAGGAAACACACCCCGAGATCTAAATGTTCAGATGCACCACACCTGAACTGGCAGTCAGGGTGAAGACACACAAAGCAATAACATATACCGTAAATAGAAACCAAAATGAATAAATACATAAATAATTTTATTTCCCTGAAATAATGAGTTGTATCAGAAGCCACATACAGAAGGGTGGCAGTAAGATAAGAGCGTGCCATGTGCAGAAGGTCTGCAGGAGTGACTGCTCCTTTCGCCTCCACTCACAAACACATACAGTGTGAACATGTTTCATCAGAGGTGGTGCAAAGGAATCAAATTCTAACTGCTTTGTGTCTAACATTGCAAACACAAGCTCTGAAAAAAAATGGCAATTGATGATTGGCAATGATTGGAAAGAAAGTATAAAAGCTTTAGAAAAGTTATACAGAATCATTTTCAATAACAATAACCTTGCATGTTCAATGAAAAAAGGGCTCCAAAACAGGACCGTCGTGCTTCTGGCCACAGCCTAGCACATGTTCTCACAGTGGTCAAATGTCATGGCATGCAGGTTTGTATTGAGAAAGCATTTTAAGTATTGGTTTGTACAGTGGTTTAATTAAATATTACGAAACTACACCAGAGTTTGAGGGAAAACGGGCAGAATGTCTACAGATGCATGACTTCCAGCACGACAACATCAAATCCCATTCTTTTAGCGTTCTCCATCAAAACGTCAACACAACTTATGAATCAGGTTTGGCTGCTGAAAAGCAGACACAGCAGAGACCTGAAAAAAAAAACTATCAAATTCAAAAATAAATTTTCATGGGAAGAATAAATTCCACAAAAAGAAGAGAAACTCAAGAGTGTAAGAACCCCTTGAGGCCAGTCAGTGGATTGTACTCTTTAGTAAAGAAGTGAGTCACGTGTCTGTCATCTCTTCACTGCCGATGTCTCCAACAGCAGCACGGAAATGTTGTCGGCACTGGCACTTGCAGGCTCAATAATCACTGAGCCTGTTGAGAGGGGCGAACAGGTCTTCCGAAAGACCCACCGTCTGTAACGTCTCTCCTCAGCGAGTCCGAGCTGTGCAGCTCAAGAAACACACAGTCACATTGCTAGTCCACACACATACAGGACGACCCCAGTAACTAGGAACAAGGATACAAGTGGAAATGTGATGCGCAGGAAGTGTGGTTGCGGCTGACATCACATAAAGAGACCGAGGTGTTTCTCCCTCCGGTCTCCTGTTTCAGTCAGGCAGAAGCAAACTCCCAAAGACCCACAAGCCACTGGGTCCCTGCCCCCACCCGAGGGGCTCTCTGGTCCCTGGCTATGGGGTTCGGGATCGGGCTAGGGAGAGGGGTGGGCTGGATGACTGCGGGTCGGACGCAGCATTCAGGCTCGTGTCAAACAGCTGACAGTTGTGTGGGCTTCGATGCGGGCAGATCCAGCAGAGCCTGGACAGTCAGACTCACCTTCACCACGCCGCGCTCTTCTAGGATGTGATGGGGCAGACACAGCTTGTCCTGAGTGAGCAGAGGGACGTCTTACACTCGGCAATAAAAGACAGGTGTGACTTCCATAGCTTCTCCTCTCCCTCATCATTTTAAGCACTTGATAAAGGATCAGTACACTCAAAACAAATAAACACAAGCACATAATTGTGTAAAAACCACTTGAATATTCATTATGAATTTCTGAACCCTGCTTATAGAATTCATATTATTATGTAAATGTTTGGCTTCGATACAAATTGTCTTTTATCTAATTGTGTGGGGGGGGGTAACTTTGGTCGAGGTCAGCATTTTCCGCTGAGCTTGTTGCAGTATTAGTTCCAGTATGTGTTGAAGTTTGAGAGGGGCTCAAACCCGACCAATCAATGTGCATTAACGAACTTGCAGAGATTTAGTACAAATCTCCACAAAGCTCCACAGTTGATATCATTAGTAAATCATCATATATCTTAAAAAGAAAAATATAAAGTGAAGTTAATACTTACACATTGTATATTGTATCATAATAATATTACCTGAGTTACACCCAGCTTCTTACAGGCGTCCAAGAAGTTCTCCACATTCCTGCGGCATTTCGCCATGCTAAGCTTTGGCTGGTGGCCAGAATATATATCATGTTAGAGACACAACAACATTTCACGAAGCTGTAAGGTGTTGTACAACACAATGCATTTAATGACTCCCAGCTTATTAACCACATATAGTGAGAAAGCTCATATATTACCACTGCGGGAGACGGCACATGGATGCTGGCGACAGACCGAGGACAAATGTGATTGGCTAAATGGCAAAGGACAACCCCATCCATCAGAGCAGCTCCAACATCGTCTGGGAGCAACACCTTCAGTCGAGACTCAATGTTCTGCAAACACAATGACAATGAACTCATGACATACTGTACATTGACATTGACTTAGGTTTCCTCTCATAGTGTGAGGAGCGTGTCCAGGCCTGCACCGTGTGAGTCATATTTGGGAGGGTTTACAAAATAACCCAACTACTGTTAATACTGTGAGAAAAGTTGTTTATGAGATCAAACAAACTGGTTATGATTTGCATAACTAAACGGAAAGGAAAACTCCAAAGTCAAGTTCAAAGAGTTGCTGGTACTATGGTGCTGGTAATACAGCTGAGAGTTTCTGGAAATGATTACCTGGTGCTCTATGAGACAGCATGTGCAAATGACTCATTTGCATGAACTGCATTTAAATTGGATCTAATGCATGAACAGAAAATGAAGTGCAAGGCAGGTGTTTTCTGCTACTGGGAGAGGAATATTGCACTCTTCTCACAAGAGGAAGGCTATATTATGTGAGGAGGTATAAGTTAAACAGTCTGATGTTGTCAGCTCAACAAAAAGACCAATGACTGAATCAATATGGGAGATTTTTGGTGGTTATTAGAACTTTATAAATGTACTAAGCTGTGGCCTATTTATTGACTTTTTAAATGGCTGATAGCTCAGTCACATGACCTGAGTATGGAACTTTGGTCACATTATAACACGTGGTCACGTATGGGGGAGATGGGGGCTGCGGTCAAATAGTTTTGCTAAGGAAGGTTCCTAACAGTGAAATCACCCAGAAGTATCGAAGCAGCAGCCATAATGAGAGCTGGTCAAATTCCTTAAATGTTAAGGGAAGGTGCTTCAATGCTTCCTTTCTTATCTCCTTTAGCAAAGGGAACACTGGAACATCCTTTTCAAAATGAAAGGAGATAAAGCCCTCTCACAACTCCTTGCGTCAGCAGCATTTAAAGCGACACACGTCTACAACATCCACGGTTGCATAATTACGTAGCCTGATGTAAGTGCAGTCGGATTCTCTGAGCACGCCAGTTGTCTTTTCCTAAGACCTTATGAATCGTCTTCGCGTCTTTCTTTGACCTCACAATGTTGCTGTTTGACCCCTTCACAGTCAATGCTGTGACCTGTTTGGATCCATGGATGTATAGAGAGAACTGCATACAGCGTTGGAGGCAGGGCCCTTCCGAAGAAAGTGGCTCAGTGGCACATGGAGGAAAAAAAGTTTGACTTTGGAGTATAACATTCAGATCAAAGTACGCAGATCTACTGGTGATCTTCCGCATCCATGGACCCATACAGCAAACATACTAGCGTTTCCTTTAACCCCGCCTCCCAGCCCTCGGTACTCTAGATTTGGCTATCAGTGCATTTAACAACTTTTACGACCAATTTATTTAAATATTGCTATTCTAGTGTTTGTACTGGGAAGCTGATTTACACGTTTAATTCACACCGTCTGTTTACCAATGTAAGTCTAAGGGGAAAAGTATTTTTCGTCCAATTACATCACGTGACGGACCCGTAAATTGTAATTTCACAGTTTGGCCACTATGTCAAATTAGCTTCCAAGCCCAGCGCTCCTCCTGGGGGCTTGTTTCTGTCTGGTGTTCACAGCTTGTCATGCCCTCCGCTTAATATTAGCCAGGAGCTTCTCTCTCTCTTTTTGTCTGTGTGAGTGTGCTTGATTACAAGAGTGGGATCAGGTGTGCGGATGTTGTAGCAAGCTGCTAATCAACAATCCATTCGGCTTTAAGGACTGGGCTTCAACTCCATCACGCATTCACACTCAGCTACTCAGTTTGTCTCATTCCAGCCTTTTTGATTCTCTTGTTTGTTAAAGCGTACGTTTTGCTAATTCTTGTTCCTGCAGCCGTCTTGCCTCTGGTCTCCATCCCACTCCTGTTTCCCTTAGATCAAAGACTCCCTCCTAGGATGTTTTGGACTCTGTCTGGCCTCTGCACTCCCCGGACAAAGTGACTCTCTGCCCTTCTTTCACATTAAGTATTGTGATAATACCTGAATTCAGCAGGGGTGTTGCAAGACTGGATATTACGGCCTTATCTGTCACTGTAGAAGAAAGCCCGTTTGTTCTTGTTCGTGAGGGTGGGAAATGCCGTCGGCAACATCCAAGTCCTGTTGCTAGCTGGGCAGAGACCAGTGAATGTTGTGTGTTTGACAACATGATCCAGTCAGTGAGGAGCTGGAAAAGGATCTGAGACATGATCCGTTCTGGCCTCAGGTCGGACTCGTCAGGGAACAACAATTGTTGATTATCATAATTGATTCACAGCAGCCGTAGATCTTTGCATTGATGGTAATGATTGTATTGAAGTTAATGGTCTATTATGTGGTGTTTCAGTGCTCACTATCAAACCCTTTCTTGCTTTCTCCAAAGAGCTGACAAAGAAGAGGTTGTTCTGCTCTCAGCGTCGCCTAATGGTGTTTTCTGAAAGTGACACTCTGAGAATGCAGTTTCTTTTCTAAAATATGACCTCAATTGCAGTTTCCATTCAGAGCACTTGCCTGGGACTAGAAAGTATTGCAATCTCTCACCAGCAATAACAATGATTTTATTGAGATAGAAAGTCCAGACTCAAGACTTGACTTCTTTGTCAAGGTCAAGGGTCAAGACTTCTAAGCCTTGAAATGATAAGAATTAAGATATTAAGGAACCAAAATGACAAAGTCAAAATATATGGTGCCCAAACTCCTTATATAGAAAGAAGTCAGTGGTGGGTTTCCCAGTAAAGTGCATGTCTGCTCTATTATTCATGTGCATGCCTTGCGTTCCTTTTCTTGCTGTTGTTGCCTCTCAGCTTTGAAACAGCCTCCTGCTTTGTGTCCTTTTACACTGTCTGGTCTGTCTCTATTATCCCCTTTTGCCTTTTCTTCCATCTGCAAAACACTTTGTAACTAGGAAAGTCCCATGAATCTGTAAATGATGTTTGCTCACTTCAGGGATATCAGATCATCTTAATGTGTGAAATGGCCTGCAGATGTGAAGGCCAGAACATCTGTGATTAATGTGATATCATCCGTTTGTTCAGAATCAAATGGGTTGACCACATCTGGACACTATATTGTATTTCAGTCTGTTTATTCAGTCTGTGACGAGGGATGAGAGGTTCCTGACATACCTCTGCATGTTTGGACAAGGGCAATCCACCCGTCAATGTTGTTAACACACTGTCTGAAAATGGACAGATATCAACTACTCGTCTTACTACTAAAAATAATACAAATGTAGCACTACAAAGCAGTACTACTACTACTACAAAAACGGTGACAGGAAGTTTCTATTAGGCAGCTCAATACAGCAGCAATCAGCAACCGCAATTTGGTGATGAAGTCATGTGCCGCATCCAAAATCACATGCTCTGCACTACATACTCAATATGTGTACAATCAACATACTTTTGTGTGAATAAACAGAAGTATGCATCTTTTCGGACGCACTGGGCTGTGATTAGACTGAGCGTCTTTGCCGGTAGGAAATGCGTAACTGTGGTGACTCGTGACAACTTCATGTGACCAAACGAGGATTTGTGAGTCTGAACTGATTAATGAAATACATAACATCTGTCAAAGTGGAATCTTATACCTGAACCTACATTGAACACTACCGCATCGCATCGTGAGATATTTATGCCGGGGTAGTGTCCAGTCTTTGCATACTGTCATTTTACAGAAAAGTGTGTACAATTTGCGTCCTATTGATTTTGACATCTTATCTTCCCTAAAGGGAGAGATTTCTAAAATTACAAGAGAGGAACTTAAAAGTGCGCTAGCGGAAGATGGCAGTTGTGACACTTTTGTATCATTAAATGGGAATGTTCAGTAAGGACACACACACACACACACACACACACACCCTCCTCTGATACCACATATTCACTTCCTATTACAAACACTGGAACAAAAGCAGGATCTGACAGGCTTTGGCCCCTGAATGACTCAATTGCGCAGATTGCATAAACAAGCCAGGAAGCTTCTGACCTGCCGTAGGAGTCCTATCTGTTCGATTTCCTCCCTCAAGTGCTCCATCTTCCTCCTCATAGTGAAGCTGGGGTCTGTCGAGCTGTACTCCTGGCGGCTTCCTTTGGTGAAGGCTGAAATAGGAGTTCCAGATAACACAGAGTGAAACACAAAAAGGAAGCTAGAATCCTAGATACAGCTCCCACTGACTATCCTAGCAGGTCAACCGCGGGCCACCTGAGGTCCACTTCAGGTCAGTGTGATAACAGACAGGTACATTTCACTCCCACTTTTCTGAAAAAGCCTGTACTTTTATTGGGCCCCATGTCTGATGATATCCAAGTGAGAGATCTGAATCTGATCGTTGTTAAAAGGCGCCGTCACTGTGGAAACAAGCTACACTGAGATATGGTTTCAACTTTCTGCGTCACCTGTTATCTTTAGTTCTCATACTACGGTCTAGTACATTTCCCACAACTTCTCATGAAAAATGTTTTGTTAGAGTAGCATCCCACACAAATCCTTGCAGCCCATTGGCTCCTTGTTTCTGGAAACTCAGCTTCTTACAGTATATAATATGAATGTTTTCCAGAGATGTCCTTTTAAATATAAGACACTATTAATGCAGGTTAATGATAAGAGTTGATTTACAATTCACAATTTCACTCTAATATCGATTATTTATCAGGCATCTTATTGTCATCTTCCCAGACATCTTGCTGATACAGGGCTTCTAACTTATGCAAATCTTTTTCTTGTTTGATTAAATTACATCTTCCTCAAAATCCTAAAGAGAAGCAACAAATACATATTTTTATATATAAAGTACTTCAGCACAAAATACTTTACTTTAGTATTTCCATTTTCTGCAAATTTATACTCGATGCAGATCAAACTATCTCAAAGTATATACATTGAAAAATGAAATGAGTAGTCAATTAACCAACTAGTCGAGCGACAGAAAATGAAACTATTTTAATAACCGATCAATCACACTGGGAAAAAATGTCAAAAACGTCTTAAAATACACGACACTGAACTATTTAGAGGTTTGACTGTTGGTGAGACAGAACAAGCAATTTGAAGGTGTAATTCTTGGTGATTGTGATGACGTTTCTCACTATTTTCTGAAGTTTTACAAACCCAACAGTTGATCCAGTTATAAAGAAAATAATCAGCAGCTTAAACTTACACACTTTTATTTAGCTATCATTTTCAATGTAGGACTTGCAACGGAGTGTTTTTACACAGTAATACTTTTAACTATGCAAAGGATCTGATGTGTTTTTACAGACAAGATTTTATTAATACTGATAAAATCCCATGTCCATGGTTTATTAGTGCACCGAAGTAAAGCAGGAAGAGTCATGAATCATGTTGCACCTTGTCCTTGTCTGTTAATGCACTGATATAGAACAGACCAACAGTTCCTCAGAAACCTTCCCCACTTCCAGAGAAAGGAAGCTGCGACTCCACCTAAAAAAAACTTGGCTTCAGATATGAGCCTTGGCTTGGCATGGAGCACCGCCTCAGTGTTATACAAGCTTTATTTTCATATTAGTAGAAGCTAAGTGCACATAGTGGAATATGGAATATTTTAGCTAAGCCCATTGATTTGAAGGTATCCTAAGTAAAAAAAATGTTTTCTTTCCTAAATGTAATTTTCAAGATGATTTGCTGTCTCTCTAATTTTGATTTATACCTAAGCTTCTGGATTCGTCAAGACTTTATTGTTTACATCCTTTCCAGTATCTATTCCTTCATTATCTGCAGAAATCTATTTAGAAGAGGTCTTACAGATGAGCAAGAACTTGTGTATTACCTGATCTGGGCTTTAGTCCAAACACAGTCAGAGTGGTGCTAAATTCAGCGTTGCGCAAACCCTCCTGGAGACAAAACGTCATTAAGATTAGGAGTAGGGCATTGTCTCAGAACTGAAAGATTGTTTGAGATTAATTATTGTTTTTATTTTCATTCACACACACAATGTTTTTCACACCCACCTCACAGTCGTCGGTCCCACTGGAGTTTTTCCGAGCACTCTGACACTTGTACTGTCAGAAAAAGGAAAAGCACATTGTTTTTTTATGAATTTACTAACATATGTGCCATGAGTGAGATGACTTTCACTATGTTATCTTTATTACAACTATCAAACAAAACACAACAAATGACCAAAGATTTCTGCCGGTGAGAATATGTGCTCATGCAACTAATGAGGTTTGTTGTGCAGAGGATCCATTTAAATTAGGCCGCTGCAGTTACGGGGAGACGTGTGCAGGCTCATACCTTCAGATAATCTTTTCTCAGGTACTTGTTCCTCCTGCGATCTTCATTCTGATTGAGCACCGGTGGGATTTCGGGCCATTTCGGCTCCGAATCTGACTGATCTGACTTCAGGCTGCCATCAAATGAGCAGGAGGAAGACGGCTGCAAAAATTGACGGACACAATTAAAACCATTCCCTGCATCCTCCAGAGAGAAACAATCACATGAGGAATGGGAGACACGACAGTAAACAAAGTAGCTGATCACTTTCAATTCATTTGAAGTAAAAGAGTTTGTACCTGACCACTCAGCACTGATGCCCCACTACTTCCTTCATCCAGAGAAGCACTAGAATAAAGACAAGCATAGCATCAGATGACTGTATCTGTTGTTTAACGTTCAGTTAGACACGATGGGCCTGATTTGATCTGTTTGTATGAGGCTTGTTATCGTGTCTAATTAGACACTACAGAAAACTGTTCGATGAACCTGAACACACCATTAAACTCATCTATCAGGCAGAAATACCTGACACCTAAAATGTGAGAATCTGTTGTTATTGAGTTTTATATCATTTTGTATGTGACATATTTGTGTTTAGACGATTGGATGGATGAAAAATATTTGGCTCCTGGAAATTGTGATGTGCAATTTAAGTGTTTTTTGGCATTTAATAAAAAATTAAAAAAGCGACACTGTAAAACATTTGAGCTTGTATATATTATAATAATAATATATAATAATATTGGACACTAGGTAAAACATATCATAGTAGAAGTGAAATATTTGCCTCTGAATTGGATTTTTTCATTTTAATAGAAAGACATCAAAACTATAATTCACCTCAAATTCAAAAAAGTCTTTGGACACGTGTGAGATCAAACAGAGATAAATGACAGCAGAAAACTAATTCAGCAGATGTATTGCTATGTTTCTGGTCATCGTAACCACAGGCCGTCTACAAGGGCTCCCCTTTAAATGTGTGCTTCTGGTCGGCAGGACTGAACTCGTGTTACAGCACGTACCTGCGAGCGGTCTGTGGAGGGGGCCTTGGTTTGCTGCCTGAGCTTCCAGAGTAACTAAGGAATCTGTAGATGGAAGCAGAAACAGTGACTGTGATTTACAACAACAACACCGTGACAACGGATGTGAGTCATGTTCCATGATGCGCGTGGACTGCTATCAATGCGTCAATGATGATATGTTGATAAATACAAACAAGTACAACAATTGGGTGAGTCAAATTCAATGGCAATTGAAGGGCAATTCATCCGCACAATGAATGAGTATGTAAGAACAATGGTTTACAAAGTTCAACCAGTTCACAGGAAAAGAGAGCAACTTCCACTTCTAAAATGAAAACATCTTCATGCATTCAAGCATAGAAACGGCTCAGATTCCCTCATACTGTGTGGGTTATCTACCCGGTGTGACGTACAAATAATCTGTAATTGATGAAGAAAGAAAGTCCATCTACCTGTGTGCGCGGCCAGTCACTCTCCGTCGGTGAATAAGACTCTCCGCTCTGCAAATCAAGGACCGTCGTCTAGAAGCCGCAAAATCAATGGTGCAGCAGCCGAGTTGAGGGAGAGGACAAGAGGGAAGTCGTGTTGATAAAGAATTTGATTTTATCAGAGCAGAGCTGAAAGAGGTAAAATGGTGAGGATGGAGCGATATTTGGGGATGTAAGGAAAACAATCCGTGGATACAGAGAATGAATCCACAAACACCGTTATGATGAGAGGATCTTTTCACAAGTTGTACATGTAGGAGGAGGTTGATTTTTAGCAGTGCAGCAAATGGAGATCCAATCTAATGGCAGTGCAGAGTGCTTCATTAAGTATTGGTTGGCTTTTGTTTCGTTACTAGAAGAAAAGTGAGAGCCACTCACCTGTTCTGCTGCTCCTGCTGCAAAAGCTGAACAGCAATCTTCCTCAGATCCAGCACTTCCTTCAGCTCGTCATCCTCTTCCTCAACTAGCTGCTCCTTGTCAGAGCTGGGAAAAAAGTTCAAGATCGAAGTTATCTAAATCATCAGAAACTACACATGACTCGCCATTTTGACTTCGGAATTTAAACATAATCTTCACAAAAGGTCTGCAAAGTGAAGAGAGCCCCATAACAAATAAATCAGAAAGCCCCAGTATAGATGTCAAAACACTAAAGCCTCTTTGACATGTGTATATACACTAAAACATGTAAATCTAAACTTGTCTTTTTGATGCTACAGTAAATCACGTCCGCACATGATTGCTTAACATTTGCAAACTCTCCAAAAGATGTCTTAAACTGACAACCTGCCATCGAGTTGATTGATCATACTGCTGGTACCACTAGTCAGTGCTTGACTGGATGGATGATTGCAATAGTTGATTTGTGGAAATCCTTTCTTCCACAGAACTGAGTTCCATGCATAAATAGACTAAGTGATGAGTAATGAAATGAATCATGAACTCACCCTGACTCCTCTTTCCAGCCGTCTTTATCTTTGCTTTGGTGAGACATATTAAGAACTTTCTCCAGTTCCTGAAACAAACACACACACACACACACACACACACACACACACACACACACA